TTTCTTTGTTGAGTCTTTGTGTTATTTAGGTATCAAGGTGACTGTGGCCTCATAAAATATTGAGTTTGGTAATGTTCCTTCTGTTTCTATTTTGTGGAATAGTTTGAAGAGTATTGGTATTAGGTCTTCTTTGAAGGTCTGATAGAATTCTGTGCTGAAACTGTCTGGCCCTGGGCTTTTTTTTTTTTTTTTTTTTTTGATGGGAGACTTGATGACAGCTTCTATTTTCTTAGGGGATATAGGACTATTGAATTCATTTACCTGATCTTGATTTAGCTGCTAGATGTTGCTAAGGGTTCCAGGTAAAATGTGTTACAAGTATTGGAAGCTGGCACCTAGAAATGGGGATTGACTGGTTAGAATGCTGAGGGGGTCTACAGGAGGGAAGAAAGGGTGTTCCAATAAGATCTGCTAAGTGCCCTGGGAATGAAGGCAGAGGAGAAGCCACAACAGGCAGTATGCTACAGAACTGTGATTGATGAGACTAGCAGACTGATTTGGAGGAGGAGAGTAAAGATCTGAAGATTACCAACCTGTTCCATTTGCCTACTAGCTTCTCTAGCAGGTTTCAATAGAAGATTCCCAGTGAATGTCTGCTGGAGTTGTGGGGTGCTTTCCAGGCCAGAGTAGTCTTCAACATTCTTAACATGCATTATTTGTTTTTTCAAGTAGAGTAGAAAGCTCAAATCGCTGGAATTTTAACATTGTGCCTATACACACACACATACACTCAATCATTCTCTATCTCAACCAATCATTGTTATCTTAACTGTCAAAATTAAAAAAGTATTAAGTATTTTAATTTTCCTCAATTAAATGATATAATTTACTTAGAGTTGAGATATATTATAACATTACAAAAGTGTTCAATCTCTGTCATTAAAAAGTAAGGAAAAATTGGCAGTCATCAGTTTAATAATTGTTTTAGGTAAGAACAAGAAACAAAAGGATTAATCTAAATATATAAAAATTAGAAGAGAAAAAGTTATTAGCTGATTTTGCCTAGAACTTAGTTATGACTCCCAAACCCACACGTCATGTTATAAGCTATTGTGCTTCAGCACAAGCAATAGGTAAATATATTGATGACATTTGGAGTAATTTATTTATTTAAAGAATTCTGTAATAATGCATGGGAACTATTTATTTACATATAGGCAGCAACAAATAGTCATCTCTAGCATAAAGGATGATGTGATAAGTGGTGCTATGGAGAAGTGAGGTTTGCATTTTATATACTGACTTACAGTATCAACTCTTAAGTAGAGAATGAAAATAAAAGAACTTATTGTCAAAACAGATTACAAAATCAGTCCTACCTGTAAAGTATCTACAAGTCATGTGTTTTATATATAAATATACAAAAGTAAATGACACAAAACAATGTAACAGGCCAAAAGAAAATATAAAATGTAGTAACAGTTATTAATAAACAAAACAGATCATAAGACAAGGAATAGCAAAGAGAGATTTCTTAGTGGGCAAACTGAACATTTAATAGCAAATAATTAACAGTTTTTGTTAATAAGGTTTACTAGAACTGAGCTGGGAATATTTACCTATGCAATGTTCAAGGCTGCTTTTGTGCTAAAATTGCAAGGCTTAATAGTTGTGACCATAATCCTATGTCTCCCACAACCTAATATAACAAAACTAACCAATGATGGAATCTCTGTTATCAGATAGTTTTTATGATATTGACCTGAAGAAGCACGAATTTGATTTTCTAAGATAAACTATTAACCTTCCATCTTCTTTTTATCCTCACATTAAATTAACAAACAGCTTGGAATAAACTTTAATCAATCAAGTTTTAAGAGAACCGTTTTAGTTAGGCTTTCTATTGCTGTGAAGAGATACCATGACCATGGCAACTCTTATAAAGGAAAATATTTAATTGGGACTGCCTTACAGTTTTAGAGGTTTAGTCTGTTATCATCATAGCAGGAAGCATCGTAGCCTGCAGACAAATATGGTGCTGGAGAAAAAGCTGAGAGTTCTACACTTAGATCCACAGACAGTAGAAATGGACCTTGAGCCACTGGCCTGGTTGGAGCACCTGAGACCTCAAAGCCAGTGAAACCCTTTCTTCACAAAACCACACCTATTCCAAAAAGGACACATCTCCCAATAGTGCCAGTCCTAGAAGCCTCTGAGATCATTTTCATTCAAACTGTCCAAGAACATTACTTGCTCAAGTTATAAGAATAAATAATAAAAGGAAACATACTAATCATCTCTAAATCCTCAACTATGGTAAAATAGTGTGAACTCAATTAAAACCTTTTTTAGAAAAGAAATATCTAGATATTAACTTTTATTTTAAAATCTGAGCTACACAGAACCAGAAACAAAATCAAATTAAAACACAACCAGATAAATACCCAATATACTACATGTTGAAAAGAATACAGAATAAGAAACACGCTACAAGAAACAAAGAAAGCAGTGAAAGATGATTTTCCTACAAAAAGACTGAAATGATTGCACTTGAGAAAGGCTACTATCAATATATTAGAGTACAGTTGTTCCCACCCATCCAAAAATGACATATCCCCAAGTTCTTACAGATGCCTTGAACCAGAGGTAGTACTAAGTTCTATATGTATTATGATTCTTCCTATAATACATATTATTAAATATAACTAACTCATTCTACCAACATCCATGGTTTCATTCTTATGTAAAGCAAGACCTTCCTGTACAGCTCAATTGACATCAAACTTGTGATCTACCTCTCTCTGTGCTTTCAGTGTATGAGAGTTGCAGGCACACAGTATTATACCTAGCTACAAAGTTTGATTTATAAATTAGGTACTGCAAGGAAATAATAATCGACAAAAATTAAAAACAGTAATTATAAATAGGTGCTGTAATGAGTTAATTATAGTATTGATCTCAAAATATCATTGCACTTCTCCTATGTCCTTTAATTACGTGAGATATAACGGTTATATGCAAATTACTATTTTGGCATGTTTTAGGGCCATTATTAAATATTATAAAGGAAAGGTTTGTTGAATAAAGCATTTCAGTACCTTTGAACATGATCTGATAACTGGGTTAAATAAAATAGCCAAACTGAAAGTAAAATATGAAGTAGAGATATGATGGAAATATGATTCATGATCCAAAACAGAGCAGGAAGATGTAAGAATTCACCAACTCAGAATCATGTGTAATTTAAATCTTATGGATCATTTTTTCTATTTTTCAGATAAAAGTTTAACATTGTAACTGAAAGCTATATGACCTATTAGGCAAATCTAACCTGGGTCCCTTGGGTAACATTCCACCCAGGATAGATTATGAGTGTGCCTAAAATAATGTAGATAATGTCATATCACAATGTCAAAGTGTCCAATAGAGTAGCTATTAAACAATCAAAAATCCAACTTTTCAGCTGTATATACCACATGTCAAGTGCTCAGAAGCATGTATGGTTAATGTTATTAGGTAGCACACAGACAATTCTATGGGGTAACCTGGGGTGTTATATATTTTCAGTGCCTAGAGAGTTGTATAGCTTTATTTTTCCTAGAATTTTTGGTTCATTCACTAATTTGTTCCTTTTAATTTTTTATTCTTTTCATTTTAACAGAGCTTTTGGTTCTGTAATCCCAAGTGCTGGGATTAAAGGCATAAACCACCACCATCCAGCTATAGTTCTTAATGCAACCATTAAAATGAAAATATGATTAATTCCTAAACCCAAATTCATATTTATATTTGAAAATGAAAAGAAAACTAAACTCACATAAATCATATATGATTAAGAATGCACGAATAGCATAACAAGGATATCAAAAGTACTGATTTAAAATGTTTTCTTAAAAACATCACACTTGCACTTTATTCAAATAAAAAGTGCTGAAAAAAATCCCGTGTATGAATGAAAACAAGTATACTTTTGCATCGAATTTCAATGGTTCAGTTGGAAAATATTTATACTACAGAAAATAACTTTTTTAACTAGCTAGGATAGAAATCCGATTATCTTTGAAAGTGATAACAAGTTTGTCAACATACATTATTTTAAGGAGAAAACATAGCCTGATATAAGTAGATCACACTTTTAATCTCAGCACTTGGTAGCCAAGGCAGAAGATCACCATAGAAAGGCATGGGTTCCACAGTGAGCTCAAGATCAGCTTGGACTACAGAGAGAAACTGCATCTTAAAGAGCAAACAACAAAATTGAAAAACAATAACAAAAAATAAAAACAGAAAGTGAGAGAGTTAAAGACTACCTTAGGTTACTATATGCCTTAAAAAAAAAAAAACAAAAAAACACAAGCCAAATAAAAGAACTAGAGAAAGTTGTGAATAATTCTACTAAGAATAATTCTATTAAGAAACTATGTAATCATTTAACATAATAGACACTTTCAATTTTTAAAAGCTGTTTCTCATAACTAGTGCGCTGTTTTCAAATTTAGCGTTTAGGCTTTACATTATTTCATTTTTAATGCAGTAAGAAAAGTCCTTTTAATCTACTAGAAAATACTATTAACTTTAGAGAGAAATTTCTTAGTATTATCAGACCATTTCTCTTTTTACTAGTTGATCTGAGCCAACTAATCTTTTAAGACTACTGTAACAAGAAAGTTTAATTTAACAAATATATCACTTGGTGATATTTTAGTCAATGATAGATCATATTTATTACAATAGTCCCCAAAAATGATATTGCTTAGTGACATTTTATCCCTCATAGTCTGTGTGTGTCTAATATAGTCACAAATTAAAGAAAGTACTTAAAAGCACATTTATGTAAATGATCCATGGTTAATATTAAGTAATCCATGACTATAATCATAAATGAAAATAAATAAGACATGTAGGGGCGAACATTAGAAAAACCAAACCATAAAATAACCAACCAGCCAACCAACCAAACAAACTCTATTCCAAAGATCATATAAAACATCAATCAAATTAGGATTTTTACTAAGTCAATAGACAGCAAGCAAATGATAATTGTTTTGGAGTCATGATTCCTCCATTTACTGTGACCTCTAATATATAAATACATCAAAAGTATTCATGTACAAATTCCCCAAAGCCATAATGTTTATATACTAAGATTCACAGTTTCTGGGCTTATTTTTCCACCACTTAAACTGTGGATCATTGCTATCATGTGAGAATGTTTGTTCAACTCGTCTTGCTGAAGTTTCACCAAAGACTCTTTCTCTTCCAAACGACCTTCTAATTGAGTCTTCTGCACTTCTAGGGAGGAAGCCTAAAGAGTGAGGGAAGAATGACAAGAAATAGAGATTAAATAGACCAGAATGGCTTTCCAGTTGAGATTTTAATCTTTATTTCTAAGTGTCACTATAGGACAAATTATATATATTGTATTTTAATTAAGTTATAAAGTGAATTTACAATAATAAGATATAAATTGGAACTTTAAAATTATGCTTTAAAGCCAATGATAACAGTCAACACTCAGGAGGCAGGTGGATTTCTGCACATTCAAGCCACGCTTGGTCTACATAGAGAGGAAGAGGCCAGCCAGGGCTAAAAATGTAAAAATGAGACCTGTTCACTCACATACCCACTCACACACAGCCGATAGAGCAGCTACATACTTTTTCTTTTTGCAGAAACAGTACATACTTTATAATATTTAAAAAAACAAAACAAAACAAAACAAGATTAATGCAGATTCCCCCAAACTCTAATATTCTATCAAGTTCAATGACCCTTGTGTTACATTTACTCTGGAAAAGTTCAATCTTAAAGTAGAGCTATTCTTAACTTTTTGGTAGTAAATGGGCTAGAAAGCACAATTCACAGCCACCTTTCAAGTTATATAATCATAATAATACATAAGCAGTAGATTAAAATTCACAAAGTAGGTTTATTATATATAACTTCACATGCCATTTCCTAATTGTTAAGCTATGAATGCTAATATTTTGATATGCATATATGTAAAAGAGAAGACAATTAAGAAAAAGATTTAGGAGTTCTTTGCAATTAACAAGGATCTAAACAAATATAAAATCATAACCACTTATGTAAGAAGAGACAGAACTATCAACCTACATAAAGCCACCACCATGCCACATGAAGACCTATGAACCCCTTTTCTATATTCTATACACACTTAAAATACACATTCAGCTATAAATACACATTCAGAAATCTTTAATGCCTTGAAATTACTAAAACCAAAAAAAAAAAAAAATCAATACATGTTTATCCTTTTAAAAAACTACTTTTCAATTTTTTGCAAGGAAAACTGAGGAGTCTTACCTTAATACTCAACTCTTTTCTTATCTGTTCTGTTCTGCTTAACTCTTTTTTAAGGCCATCAATGGCTTCCTGCTTATCTTCCTTTTCTTTTTGTAAAACATTAATCTTTTCTTCTTGGGATTTTGCTATTTTACGCAAATCTAAAAACAAACAAATAGCCATGTTCTTATGAAAAAGTTAGTTTTCTTTTCCTACTATAAAAGAAAAACAAAGCAATGACGAAGGTGATCAACTATCATGCTAGAAATATTTATATAAAATTTACTGACTAAAAGAAACACCTCAATGGAGGGAGAGATGGTTAAGAAGGTAAAGGTGCTTACGATTAGCTGAATTAATCCCTGGAACCTACATGGTAAAAGGAGAGATCTGACTCTCATAAGTTGTCCTCTCACCTCCACATGGTCAAATCTCATCCCCCATACAATAAATGTAAAGAATAAATAAAACAAAAATACCCCCAAATTCTTTCTTTTTACCAGTATTCTTTATAAAATAGCAAGTTCTTGTCTTTTCCCACTTCCTCTGTTCTAAACAAGCATTGGGGGTAGGACAAGGAAACACAGAGCATAAGGGCTGCTGGAAATCAGAAAGCAAAAACCATGGCAAAAAAAAAAAAAAAGCAGGTTAGGTCTCTGCACTATAGAAGGTAAGTTAGAGCAGTCATGCCTGTGTGGGTCATCTCACAGGGGACAGCATCTAGAAACTAGGAACTGTAAGTTATGCAGTACTGCCACCTGCTGTTATGTTAAACATATTTTAAAAAGGGCCATTATTTCTTGTAACCCCTAGAGTTGGTTAAAAAAAAAAAGACAACATTTTCTATTCAATCAACTGAATAAAAATAATTTTTGAAAGTTCAGAGAGAAGGAAGATGTTTAGGAAGTAATTTAAAACTGGAAAAATAAGAGAAGTTGGCGCTTAAGAGATAGTTCAGCAGTTTAGAGGAGGTATTGCTTTTGCAGAAGATCAGTTTATCCAAAATCTCTTCCATGGCCACTTGCACTCAGTTGCACACAGCCACTATCCACATAAACAACAAAATTAAGAAAAATACAAACAAAATCCTTAAAATAAATTAGAAAAGTAGATAGCAGTAGTAAACTAAAATATCTCACACTATGATTTTCTTCCAAAGCAAAATATGCTGAAAACACATACAAACAAAGTAACTTACTTGATAATTTATATTCTCTGTCTACTAACTGGCTCTGGACTTCTTTTCTCTGTTCTTCTTTCTCCATCAACTGAGCAATAGCTCTGAAGTTATAAAAGAAAAATTATTGAATAAAATTTGTGCTATTTTCCCCCCAAAGTAGTAAGTAAAAAATCGTAAGAACTGTAATTATTTATAATTGTGCCATATTTACACTGTAATCTAAAAGAAAAGAGTTCTAGCTAGCAATAAAAACAATATTCTATGTAAAAAGAGAATTACTGTCTTTTCAAAATAACAAATAATTAGAATATAGAATTAGAGGCTTTACTTTTCATTTTGTTGCTTGAGTGACTCATTCAACTTTTTCACTGTCTCAATCTGTTTATTCAGGGACTCACAAGTAGTCTGTAAGTCCGTATTCTTCTTCTCAGTAGTTTCATTTCTAAAAAAGACAAGGAAATGTGTTAGTGTCCTTATGGAGGAAACCAGCATGGATACCTGGAAGTACCTATCAAAAGTATACTATGCTCTTTAACTCCACAATTTACCTGAAGAGGTCATGCATGGCACAGTAATCTGTACTCAAAGAAAATAAAAGGCAAATAGTAACACAAACTTTTGTAGTATTAGGTAAAATGATATGGAATTCCCAATTGTTAACTAATCTGACTTGCTGAAATGACCAACTGCCAGTTTTAATATTAATAGTGACAACTAAGTTGATCCAATAATTTAAAACTACATTTGGATTATATGTGTGTATAGGAATATGCCTTGGTGTGAGTGTGTGAATGTTTAAGTACTCATGGTGTGAGTGTGTGAAAGTGTGAGTACATCAGCTCTATCCTTCCACTGTGAATGTTCTAGGGATCAAACTTGGGTTTCCAGGCTCGGTGCAAGTACCTTTATGCCCTGAGCCATCTTTCTGGCCCTCATTCAATATCTGCAGTATAGCAGTGCCAAAATATCAAGCACTATTTGTTCTAGGCCATAGTGAAAACCAATTGGTTTGCCCTCCCCTGGACTAGACTATTTCTCCTGCTACCAGCATTCCTTGGTTGTCTGTAGTTTTTTTGTGGAGGGTTGAGGCCTTGTGGTCTTTTTCCACTTTGGCATGTCTCTTGTCCTCATTCAATTCATTTTTAGAAAGTCTTAAATCTCTTATGTACTACTTATTTTTTGATGTCACAACTTAAGAAATGTTTTCAAAAATCATTTAGGGAAGAGGAAATGTGGCCTGCCCACTTAGCTTCTAACTTTACACAGAAACCTTTATTTACCTTTGAACAAGTTCCATGTAGGACTTTGTCAGTATTTCATGTTCTTCAGCCACAGACTCCAACTTCCTACTATGTTGAAAGAGATGCTCAATATCATTTTGGATTCTTTCTGACTCCAGCTGTTGTGACTTCAGCAACATACTAAGCTCTTCATTTTTTTTCTCAACTTCTCTTAACATGCCTGCAAGTGTTCGTGCCTCAAAAGAAAATGAAACATACATTTTTCCACTATCACATATACATACATCATGCTGTAATGCTTGGAGAAAAGTATATCACATAGCAGTGGTAGTTCCACTGGATTATTTTGCCTAGTTATAATGTAGTGATCATAGTTTAAGTACACTATGTGATGTTAGCACAACAACTGCCTAAAACACTAATACATGTATGTAATATGAGCACACATTATAGTTGATAAACTGTACTATTTAAAAGAGCTACGAAATATTTAATTCAGCCAACTACTGGCTACAGAAAACTGTATCAGTTGTATATTCTTAACTACTTCCAAATCTGATTAAGGCTGGAAATCAGAATTGTTTCAGATTCTTCAAGGTTCTGGAATATCTGCACATACATACATCATGATACCCACATCTAACCATAACATTTATTTACATTTCATACCCCTCCTATACATAACCTGGAGGTAAATTTATGCAGTTTAAATTTGTGTATAAAATAATTCCATTGTGAGTTCTTTTCCACCAAAACCATAATTACATTCAAAGTTACTTCAAATTAATTTTTGTGGGTTTGGGTTTGTTTGTGTCTGGGTAAGTGCATACCAGTGAGCGCGTGTGGAGGTCAGAGACTAACTTGTGGAAATCAGTTTTCTCTTTCCACCATCTGTGTCCTGGGGACTGGATTCAGTTTATCAGGATTGGTGACAAAGGCCTTTACCTTTGTAGTAACTCCATCTCACCAGGACAACAGGAGAGATTTTGGATGGGGATTATCTGGTTAGGTTAACTGATGTGGAATAACCCATCTAAATTTTGGATGGGACTGTTTCCTCTGCAAGGCATCCTGGCATGCATGAAATGGAGGTGAACAAAGCATTACTACTCCCTGACTGGGTATAAAGCCACTTCAGACTCATGGCACTCTGCCAAGAAAGCTCTGAATTATAAGTTAAAATAAATCCTTTCTTCCTTAAGTTGCTTTAGTCAAGGTAGTTTACTACAGCAACATGAAAATTAACCAAGATAATACATTATCCAGAGACAGAATATATGCTTATTTCTTTTTCTCCTTCCTTTCAGCTATATTTTTTTATATTTTTTACAACACCTTCACCTTGGAAATAATGTAAAGGTATTTTACTTACCAGCAATTTTTTTAATCTCTCTTTCAAACACCATACAATCTTATAATTTATTAATTGAAATAATGTAAAAATTCCATGTGAATCTAAGAATTTCATATTAAACCAACCTTTCACCTATAAGATATATATCATGTATATTTTAATTGCCAAACTTATATTCCAAGAATGCAATGGAGCTTGGAGATTCAAAAGTAGGCTTTAATATCACAAGTAGGGGTAGGAGGTAGTATGATTTTCATATGGTTTGGAAAATGCAATGAAGAGGCAAGCACAAGGTGGAGGGATAGAAGGGAAGCCAAACATATGAATGAGAAAATGGACCATAGAAGCTTCTGGGGACGTGGGCATTTAAATGATAATTGGAGATGATAAAGTATTAAGAGGAAAAGATCTCTAAATACGGTTAAGAAAACATAAGACTATGGGAGGTTCTACCAAAAATGCCAACTAGTATAAGCACTTTACCCGCAGTATATGAGCAAAAATGGAAGACGTAGGATGAGTGAGAATTTTTTTGTGTGTGTCAAATTAAGGAATTCCAGTGCCGTGAGAGAGTAATGACAACTACCGTAAAGCACTGGAGAAACAGGATGAGGTACTCCTTCAGATACCCCTGGCAACTGGAACAAAGGAAAAGAGAACAAAACACAGAAATCCATTGAGAGTGCAAAGGGTGTCAAACAGACTTAAGGTAGAAAGACTACTTAAAAGCTCTCCTATGACACCCATGAGGAAGAAACTGGAATGACCCAGAGCAAGTGAAGGTAGGAGACAAAGCAGAAAGTTATTTCTAATCAGCTGAACTTGGTGATTAATAGAGGTAAACAGTGTTTCCAGATTCCTGTGTCAGCAAATTTAAGCTGTTAATAGACCACTATACTATATATATGTTTTAAAACAAGGTTTAAGTACTTCACCACTGATTATTCGGAATTTCAAGAATTTCCCAAATTACGAAATTCAACAACACAGTGTATTTAGTGCTCTGGAAAATGCTCTCAGCTTGCCTTAAGTTTGGGAACATTGACTCTTAGTAATGGTTGAATCTACATGGCAGAAAAATAAGGAAAGGGCTTACAATTCTGAGAATCTCTTATACTCAAGGGTAGAATATTAATGATATGTACACAAACACATCAATCAAGTAGAAAAGAAAATTGAGATGATCATGTAGCTAAAAGTAAAGGGAAGAGAGTTTCAAAACAGGAATTACATGAAATACTCAAGATAGTTCACCTCAGTTACATGTGTTACTAAGATACTTGTAACTAGTACTGTGCATGTTTTTCATTTCATTGAAGTTTTCTCTTAATCACATACTTTATTGACATAGTGTACAGACCTCTGTCTCTGCTTGAGTTCTTTGACAACGATACTGAGCAATTAGTCTGTCAGCCTGTGCAAGAGCCAAGGCTTTTGCTTCCAGGAGATCTTGCAACCTGCTCTCTTTAGACTAGAAGAAAATACACCATTAATGTCCATTGTTTAGGAAACATCTGTGAAATGCATATATCATTATATAGTTATAATAAGCTTGTACTCACGGCTAATGTGGAAAGTTTCATCTCATAAACATCCATTATGTCAGATATTCTTATATCATTAATCTGATCCTTTACCTGGTTTTAATAGAGTTCAAATCAAAAAATCATATATTTAACAAAAGAAAGAATGAAAATCAACTTTGCAACTAAACCATTAAGTCCAAAGAGTAAAACATACATTTTTATCAAGTAGGTTACAAATACTTCACTAATTTGGCTGACAAGGTTCAATATTCATACGGTCATTTAAAAATATCCCTTAAGCTTGGTGGGCAGACAGAAAGGGGCTAGAATGACAGCTTCTTTCTTTTTAAATAACTGTTTCTTTTCTTTGAAAAATGTCCAGATTTTACTTTCTATGTCAGAGTAAAGTTTCAGGGATAAATTCTGTATCTCAAGTTGTTTAAATAAATCTGTAATGAGAGCTGACACTTGGCTGCCTGGTACTAAGCACAAGCCCATTTGTAGCAGTAGCACTTACCATCATTCCTGCCTGAAGTTTCTCTATTAGCTCTTCAACGTTCAATGCAGGAGCATTATCTTTTGAAAGAGGAGGCGTTAAGCACTTTGCTGATGTTGAAAAACAGTGATTTAAGGGCTGCAAAGGCACTTTCCTGGGCATATTCTCGGTTTCTTGCTGTCTGTATACATTGTTTGCTGCTATACTTTCTCCAAGGCTGCATAAGAGTCAGGAAGAAAAAGCAATCACAAAAACATAGCAAAAGGCAGACCTGTTATAGAGCTACAGTATCATTTGGAATGAGTCTTCTTTGGGAACTACAAGTCTTTAAATACATTGAAAATCATCTTGGTAACCATGATAAAATAAGGTTTGGAGAAACATTCTAAATTTTCCAGAGAACTCTTTTCTACTTAATAGTCATTTATAAGGACAATTCCATGTTTGGAGTCATTCTACCAATAGTTAGTGAATATGGATCATCTGCAGTGAATGCAAAGTTACTGTATTACTCAGAACAACCTTATCCTAGATGGTAACATCTGGGCTCATCTATGCTCTCCTTTGACGCTCTTTTTTCTCACCCAATATGTCCTCATCATACTGACTTCAACTATACTGAATGCCAATCCTGTTTATGTCTCAAGGCCTGGAATGAGCTGTTCCTTTATCTGGAACTCTATCAGAAAAGGGTTGAGAAGGCTTCATTAATGTGCTTTGTAATATGAATAATTAGCCACTCCTTTCCATAGTGATAGGCATTATATGAACTTTTAATTTTTTTTAAATAATAAGATAAAACAAAAACTCATCAGCATAAGACAAAACAAACAGAAGAGCTCAAGAGAAGGCACAATAATCAAGACACCCACTCAGGAATACCACAAAAACACTAAACTGGAAGCCATTACATATTAGCAGAGGACCTGGTGCAGACCTGTGTAGGCCCTAAGCAATTGCCTCAATTGAGCACTCTGATTAAGAGAGCCTTGTTTCCTTGGTGTCCTCCATCCCCTCTGGCTCTTAACACTCTTTTGCCTCTTACTTTACAGGGTTTCCTGAGCCCCAAGGGGAGGGATTTGTTGGAGTCATCCCATTTTAGGTCTCTTACTGCACTCTCTGCATTATGTCTGGCTATGGCTCTCTGTATTTGTATGTTATCATCTACTGGAGGAGGAAGATACTCTGATGATGGCACTGATCCAGAAGTATAGCAGAATGTCATTAGGAGTCAATTTATTATGTGTGTGTTTTTTTTTTTTTAAAGAACAGTATTATTTTACTTTACCATAGGTCCCTAGGCTATCTATTCTCGCCACTATCTAGGTTCTATCCCACTCCCAGTTTTCTTCAGTTGCCTAAAGTTCTTGAATAGGGTTGAGACCTTGTGGGCTTTCCCAGTCAACTTTGGCATGTCCATACAAAACCAAATGGACTCCCCATATATGCATGCAATAACAATTAATAAAATAATGAAAGAAGAAACCATGAACTTGAAGAAGAGCAAGAAGGGATATATGAGAAGGCTTAGAGATGAAGGAAAGAAAAGGGAGAAATGTAGTTATATTACAATTCCAGAAATTAAAATAATTTGGCTAAACATATTTATCAAAAATTTAAACTTTGGGGGTTGGGTTTTTGGTTTAAAATATTTATTAGATTATGTGTGAGGCTTTGAGTTTGTTTTATTACACCACTACCAACTAATAAAGTGCTGAACGTTATTTTTATAGCACTGACATTGGGTTTACACTTATTAGTCCTTAAATACTTAATTTATGACTACCTACATGAGTAATTTACAAAATTCAACTAGAGTCACTTAACAACAGACAGCATGGACCAGTAAACTCATCTTTTACTTTTAGAGAGTGAAAACAGTACAGACAAGAGAGATAATATTAAAATGAATGATTTGGCTTTGGTTTGATGAAACTATTTACAAAGCAAAGGCTTGTTCACAGGCCTGTTTATTGACATTTAGTTTCAAATTACTCATGTGATTTTTACAAATTCTATTACATAAACCACTTAAAGGTCTAAAAACTAAATCCCAAGAACAGACTATAGTAACCATTCAGTTTATAGATTCTCTCCTCCTGATGTAAACCCAATTTAAAACAAAACAAAGCAAAATAAATAAACAAATAAACCCACACCATTTTAAATATGCTATTATTAAAATTAATTATAGTAATTTTTTTTTGGACTGGCCATCTACTGCATTTAATGATATAATACTTCGTATTTAAGAATCCTCCCACTGACCTTTCCCAGATGAGTTTAAGTTCATGCAGTTCTTAGGACTCCTTGGCAAATAAATCAGAAAGGAAAAGTTCTTTCTACAAAAGGAACTTCAGCAAGTGGTTCAAGCTTCAATGTCTAAAATCTATGTTCAGAAGAGGTGATTAAAGACAAAAGCAGCACTACTAATATATCTAATCACCTGCACCTACACTTTCTTTGGAAAGCAAACATTTGAATTTTTCTTTTACAGGAATCAAAATTTTAACCATTTGAAGGCTTACTGACAATTACAATAAAATCTGCAGTTTACTAATTTATTAATAAATATGCATGGAGGATTATGAAGAAATATAGAAGGACAAACTGCATTAAGGAAATATTGCAAATGGTTACAACTCACACTAAGGCAGGAAAATCTGGCAGTGGAGCAGCTTCCAGCAATATTCCCAATCCAGACTGTACTTGTTCTCTATTATCTGATGTTAAAGCAAAAGCCAAAGGTGTAATCAAACGTGGATCCTAAACAAATCAGAAACCAGCAAGTAAGAGGCAAAAAGATCACATACTGCAAAGCCTTTACTCAAAAGTGAGCCTATTCTAAGGTATTCCTACTTGAAACTTGCATGTAGTCAAACTCTACCACCCTGCAGCTATTTATACTATATTGCAACCCATATTAATAAACTAAGATATTATCTAGGAAAATGCTTGAATGTCACAACTATGCCTCTCAGAACTGACGTAAGTATTTTGATGAATTTAAATTTTTAATATCAAATGGTATTTAGATATTGTTTTATTTCTAATAAAATAAAACTTTGGCCAATCACTTCTAAATTAAAAACATCAAATAAATTATTCAATACAAATTAGAAAAGTTACTAACTAAATCAATACACTTCAAAGTTCCCCATGTCAGTATTTTACACTTAGTATCACAAGCTCTAAAATCATCTAGTATGAAAAACATCCAAACCCAAAAGTAAAAAAAAAAAATTCAACCTACTCTTTAGGATATATTGTGTAAGTATGCATACATACAAGCCAGAGGTCTATGTTAGATGTCTTTCTCTATTGCTTTCCATAGTATTTTTTAAGACAAAGTCTCTCATTGAACATTGAGCTCACAAATGTGTAGAACAGTTAGGCAGAGAGACCCTGGTAGCCTGCTGTCTCTTCTTCTCAGTGCTGAAATGTACTTAGGATATACTGTCACACTCACCTTTTAGATGACTTTAGGCACTTTACTCACTAACTCATTTCCCCATCCAACTCATTTTTTTAAAATGACAAATTGGTAATGAAGAAAATATTAATAGGTAAAGCCTTTATAATGAAAATATTAAATACTTAATTTTATTTAAGTGTAATTCAGCCTTCAAAACTTTCAACAGAATCCCTTTACAATTTCTCCCAGAGAAGAGAATCATTAATTGCTGCTTGCAGTAAAGGTAACTAAAGTACAAAGATGGGAAATTACTTGCTTAAGCCCACACTGTCTAGCAAATAATTTAGTCAACTACGCCTCTAAAGCTAATGTTCTTATAGTATACACATAGCCACTGCCTAGACGTTCAGTTCTGGCTTCTATTCCATCTGAATGTTCAACATTATTCTTTCTAAGCTATTTTATTAACTTAATTCAGCAAAAAAAATTCTGTATTTTTATTAAATAAATCTTATAATCTAGGTAATACAGATATTAACATGGGTAATGTTGAAACCTGTACTAGGCAAAGAAACCAGATAAAACCAGAACGAAATCCTTTGGGCTAAGTATTATGCAATCAAACTAAACTTTAGCTTCGTTTCCCCAAAACAAGCAAAACATATTGTAGTATCAAAGACCCTTTTCCTATAAGGAAAGGGATATTCTTCATTTGAGGAACTCTTTCTCTATCTATAAAACCTATCTCCTCCAGTTCAGCTAAGAATACTCATGAATTTGGCAAAATTAGATGTTTCCTGATTCGTAAAGAATAATGAGGACCAAGAACATAGCCCTGTAAGGGAGGAGTACTTACATGTATGTTTTAAGTCCTGGGTTTATAGTACAGGAGGGAGTAGAAAATAAAATACAATTAAAATTTTTAACTAAGCCTTTTAATTTTGCTTTCTGATAATATCTAGGGCTTTTGAGATACTATCATTAAAACATGTAAGCTAGCTATTTTCAGCACATCCTCACTAATCTTATCAGTCCCTTTCTTTCAGATGTCGTCTATCCCCTTATTACTTTATGTCACCAACTATGATTAAAACTCAAAGCTCACCCAGATAAAAAATCTGAGTTTAATCGAGAGAAGCCACAACAAAGTGTGGGTATGTACTTTTAACCCCCATGTTGGGGAGGCTCCTGCAGATTCCTGCAGCTCACTAGCCACCAGCCTTCCTTATTTGGGGAGGCCCAGAACAGCACAGCAAAGAGACTTAAGTCAAAAAAAAAAAAAAAAAAAAAAGGTAGGCAGAGCCTAAGGAATTATACTCCAAGTCATCCTCAGGTCATCACACATATGTGTCTCCCATAGGTGTATAAATACACACACACACACACACACACACACACACACACACAGTCTTTTCCAATGCTAAGATACATCAAGAAATCTGCAAGTACAACACAATGAAAGAAGGGCTGGGAAACTATTACTGTGATCATTCTTTACCTTAGAACATGGAAAAATTTAGCTTAGCTTTTAAAGAAACTGTAAAACAAGGCTATTCTAAGAAGAAGACAAAACTGTCAACTTTTCTCCTGGTCAATTCTAAGAGAAATACACCTTAAGGATGTAGAAATTAAGATAGGCATGGTGCACAGGCTTGCAATCCTAGCACTTAGGAGGTCAAGGCAGAAGAATGGAGAGTTTAAAGTCAAGATGTCTGACATGTGATATGATGTCTCAACAAACAAGAAATCAAGGAGGAAACAAAAGGAGAACTATTATAAGCCAAGGCAGAGTGGCTGGAGATGCTGCTCAGGCACAAAGACCTGAGTTCAATCATCAGGACCCACCTAGAATGCAAGACATGATGACATATCTATATCCTTATATCCGTAGGAGTGGGAGGTAGGAAGACAAGACAGAGAAAGGTAGATTTCTAGAGTTCATTGATGAGGCAGCCTACCTGAATTTGTGAGCTCCAGGGCAGTCAGACTCTTGATTTAAAAGAAAAACAAAAACAAAACAAAAGGTAGCAAGCAACTAAAGAGAACAAACAAAACTGACCTTACACATACACTACCCATAGATATACATACCACAGGATTATGTATTATACACACACACACACACACACACACACACACACACACACACACATGCACACAAGGAATTACATGGTAATAAAATGTGTAAAAAGTTTGAAGTTACCTGAAGGATTTTGTAGAAGCTTACTTCCATACCAGGAACCAATTGTTTAAGTTTGTTCATCAAATTAAGAGTTTTCAAAATTACATCAGCAGCAAGTTTGCTTTAAAAATAAGTCAAATTTAAATTAGGTAATTTTGTCTAAAATTCTAAAGTAAATGAAAAACTTAAATTTGTTTTTAAAACACAAGATAAATTATTACTTCTAAGAATTAAAATATTAAATATCTGATATTTTTAGTACTCAAGTTCCAGACTGATCAAATTAGTGTTGAGTCTGAATTTCAGACTGCTAACTACTTTTAGATATCAATATATTTCAAATTTCTTCTGAATGAAGTACAAGTATTAGACGCTGCTCATTTCATTCTTCATAACTGTTTCTAAAACTAAAAACCAAAAACCCACAATAACCTAATATGTAAAGCATGTACTTATTCTACTTTGAATCTGAAAGGGAGTACTTTCAGATAAGTACTGGGAGGACTTATTCATGAGATGGAGGGGACATAAAAAAACTGCTCTTCACTCTCAGTGAGCATCCACTTTCAAACAATGATCTGATGTGCAAAGGAAAAGAGTTGTCTTTGTTACTAAGAAGCTTTCTGCAGGGATTGGTTCTGCTGATAAAACCATCCATTTTGTCATACTTTTCTCCTTAACAATTAAGATTAAATGAAGCAAAAATTAAATTACAAAGGCAATATCAAAAAGCAGGTGTAGAAAAGAAATGTTCAGGGTCTGTAATTTCTCTTTCACACATGTGCAGAGAGAAAAAAGTTAGAATGAAATATAAGCTACAGATGTTAAAACCTTTCAGCAGAAGTATGTAATCCAGAAACTGATTTTTTTTTTTCAAAAATTAAAACATTTTCAACTTCTTTTGATTTAACAGAACATAACTAGGGATGATCCCTAAATCTGATAACTATATTTTATAGTTTTTACTGCCGTTAGCCAATATGCATTTTTGGATTTGAGATACTCACCACAATTCAGAATCGGCTACCTTTGTTCCAAACCCCAGGTCAATCTTGCCATATTTAAACTGTTGCTCTATCAGTGTGGTGCACTTGATAGTGGTCAGTACTTTCACAACATGCACTTTCAGCGTGTCGTCTCCACACAGAGGTCACATTTGGTTAAGGTACACAGGGACCCAAAGACTTGGTGCACAGTGTGTAGCTCCATATAACTTGCAACATTCAGAATAATTTAAATCAAGTTATCTCATCACTGCAACCCAGAATAATTATTGTAATTGCTTTAAGACATGTTAGAAAAATGGAACTCTAAATAAAGTATTAAGGTGACTGGTAAATAGGGATAGATAGATTCACACAAGTATCTGCCACATGGTAAAACCAAAGAAAGGATATTTCTTCCCTGGATGTTTGTTTTTGTTAGCAATGATCACAATAAATACTGAATGAATTACGGGAGATTATTTTCTCATAATTTATAAATTATGATGAATATTTATCAGAAAAAAAGGGCCAAGATATAAACACTTTTTAAAGCTAAAAGAGCAACTGCATGCCTCTATTGCAGTGATTTTTTAACCTTGTCAACATGTTAGGAACAAGTCAGTAAATTAAACAATCACAAACAAACACAGGGTAATTGGGCTAAAATCATGAAAACGCTTAGTACTTGTACTGAAACATCTACCAAAAACTCACAGGAGTAGTAATAAGCATCAAAAACATAGGAGAGTTATGAGGAGCCAACTCAGACTACAACTTCAAAGCTCAAACTGATTTAAAAAAAGTGGTCATGCTCCTATGCCGGAATGGGAGCAGAAGGAGGGAAGGTGAGATTGGGAGGGGACAAGGAAGGGGGCTACAGCTGGGATACAAAGTGAACAAAAAATTAGATATTAAAAAACCAGTCATGCTTTAAGAACATTTATTGGTCAATGTAGGTCAATAGTGGAATGTTTGATCTACTGAGATCCTGGGTCTGATCCTTTGCAGTGCACATATGCACACAAATATGCACAAAGATGTATCTTTAAAAAAAGAGTTCTAAATGTACTGAAGCATAAATTTACACAGAAAACAAACTAGAGAACATTTGCATGTACCCTTGGAACTTTAAATTTCAGTTCAATATCCTTTTTGTGGCTATGTTAAGTGCCTCATGTTCGCGTGCAAGTGCGCATTTACGTGTGCACATGCATATGGAGGCCAAAGCACAACCCAGAGTGTCATCCTCAGCACCACAGGGGAATGAATGTATGTCACCTGTTAGGCTTCACTACTGGCCAGCCAACCCCAGAGATCCTCTTGTCTCTGCTTCCCCATCCCTGGGATTACAACCCACACCATGATGCTTGCCTGACATTTTCATGACACTGCTGAGTACTTAACTCTAGTCCTCATGCTTTTAAGCATTTTATGTATTAAGCCATTTTCCCAGTCCTTTGGTACAGTATTGTAAGACTGCAAATAGAGGCAAAAATTGGGAGTTTCTATACTTTTAATTTATATAATGGTAAAGGATATTTAACAAAACTTCAATGGCTTTGACCATTCTTTCACACTTTTTTCTTATTAAGGTCTCATCAAGATTTTGTTCTGTGAACTGAAGCTGATCTAGGATTGTAGGCAGCAGAAGGGTCACAAAACAGTCAGTTGAAGAACAGTTACCAGTATCAATGACATCCTAGAAAATTTGACAATCAAGAATAATTAAAATTAAAGATGAAAAACATAACACAAAGCAGTTATTATTGAGCTGTAACATATTCTATACATTTTTTAACATTTATTTCAACGTTCATTTATTCAAGTCTCCCATTATAACACTACTTTTTGCAATTTAAAACTTTAGCCAATTTTCTTTTTTTTTTCCTTTGCTTTATTTTTTTATTTTTTTTAATTTTATTTTTTTCTTATCAGTTACATTTTATTAACTCTGTATCCCAGCCGTGTCCCGATCCCTCATTCCCTCCCAGTCCCTCCCTCCCTCATCTCCACTGTGCCCCTTGCCAAGTCCACTGATAGCCAATTTTCAGACCTTGTTTTTTTCCTCAAATGCATCTGTATGATTATATAAATAAGACAGTTTTAAAGGACTCCACAATTTAAATTTTATCCTAAATATGTTTGTTATTTAATGACAATATCCTAAATTTGCTAAATATAATTAAAATGGTAAGAAACTCACTTTAATACTGTAAAACCACAACTGATTTCAAAGGCTTTTTAAATTCTAAGATCAGTTATAGTTAAGACCAAGTTAAAAATGCCAAAAGTAGTTTATGCATTAATCTTAATGAATAGACTTAATCACTCATACACATATTTGTGCATAGGATCCAATTATGACATGAAAATAATTTGGAAGACTGGGATAGGCTGAATGAGTATAAAAGCTGGTGAACAGCAAAATAATGTTAAATCGCCCAGTAGCATAATTTACAGATCATGATTATTTGTCTTTATTCTATTAAGTGCATTTTTTTTGCTGTGTGCATGCTCTGTCTCATTTCACTAGTTAAGACCAATATTTTACAGAATTAAAGGCAGTGGACAAAATCTGAGATAGATAGAAACAACCAAAACACAAGGATCCACACACAAAGAAACCATATAGATTTATAATGTATACAGCATAACAAACTTTATATATATATGTGTGTGTGTGTGTGTGTGTATGTACATATGTGAGAAACAGATACATACCAAGCATTCAGTAGAAACATGAAAAATACTAATACATGTGAGTTTGCAGGAAAAAAACCTTAGTAGTTGAATTCCAGACCAATTGTTAATTTTATCCCATCTGTGGACAATTGGAAGCTAACACATTAAAGTGTTGTAAAACAAATTGTTAACCGAGTATCATGAAAGTACAAAAGTCCATTTGTCAATCATTCCATTACCTCAAAGATTTCCTTGAACAACTCCAATGCTAAAACAGAACAGTTTTCAGATCCATCCAAAGGTTGGCTTAGCCAACGAAGTAGAGCCACAGTAGGTTCTAAGCTCTTAGGACGGCTTCCCAGAACGTTGTTGCCAGGTGGAGACTGTTCAAACATCATGTGACTGAGCACATGGCGCAACTGAGTCACTGCACAGAATGCAAGAAGTAATTCTAAAACCTGTGCAACATAAAGTCTTCATTAAATATTACTTCATTGGACTTTAATAGACAAAGCATACGATAATGCTAAAAATGCAACGCAATTTAAAAAACATTCTGAAAGAAAAGATAAAGAAATGCTTGTAATGCTTGTGTTCTGATGTCAATATTGGTTACGTGAGTGTGAGCAGTTTCTAAATATGCAGAGGGCAGTATACTTAGATCCTGTACATCTTAGTTTTTAAAAAGTGTAAAACAAAATGTCATGCTTTAACATACCTTTGAAGAAGAATCAGGGTCTTTTGCATTTAGAAGCCCAAGTACTTGATTAAGACATGAAGAGAAGTGTTCATACCTATATTTAAAGGTATATATTAAATGAAAAAAGGTGAAGAAGTGTAGGCAAAGGGGGTAGATTTGATCAAAACATGCACATATGAAATTATCAAAAAAAAGATACAACAAATGTCTTTACCATGTTTACATAGATATTCGTTGATTTCTGACATAGTTTTGTGCAAATAAACCCATCTCAATAAACTACTCCATGTGAAAAATGCATTTTCTACAATCCTCAGAGCATAGCAACACAGTACATGGTGGCTGACTGGTTGTTTAGCATTATGATCTGAGGGGCTGGCTTGCAGCTGCAGTTTCCAGCCACTGTTTAGCACTGCATGGGGCCAGAAATTAAGCTGCAGTGTAGCCAGACTTGACTTACATTCAGGTATTCACACTGAACACTACCAAACTGATGTAACGGTTGAAAGCAACGTTAAAACCTGAACACCTATAAGTAAAGAGAATTGATGATTGAATAGGAAGCATTAAATGGGCAGGAGAAATAATTTGCTGAAGATGACAGAATGAGTTTACAGCACATGGTAATAAAATATTTATGAACAGTATAGGATAGAAGAAAGAAAGAATGTGCAGAAACAAGTTTGTCTAGGAGTACAAATATGGGTAGGCTCTAAGCAGATGAAATTTTTTTTCTGTATTTAAAACAAAAATAAAGTGAGCTTGTGCATGAAAGGTAGGAGGAAGTAACACATATTTGAGTGAGACCTTGTAGGAATCAAGAAAGAAAGCTGACAAAAGAAATATAAGTATGATTTTCTCATATCTGTTAGAAACATGACATTGGTAAGACTGAAACAGATTCAAAAGTAAGGGTTTAACAAATGATATGGCGGTGAAAAAGAAAGACAAGCTAGACATAGTCCTTGGGATCCATGCTCAACAGAAGGGAGAAGGAAAAAATGGATCTCACACATACTACACACGGTCACCTCCTAGTCTCCTGAAAGCACATCCAAAAGAAAATCTTAATTTACCGCAAGGTAAGCCAGAAAGAATACACATGGGTATTGAAACACAACAAATGAAAAGGGAACAGCGAAAGGGAAAGTACTCTGAAGGGAAAAATGCCCTTATTTATAACACTGACTTGATAAGCACTCTTACAACAGATGTTTAGGAAAAAGACCATATACTGAAGTGAGTATGTGTTCTTTTTCCAGCTACCCAAAGTTAATTTTGCCATATTTCCTTAGGTTTATTTGTGAAGCTTCTTGATTCTTTTTCTGGAAAATTAGGAATTATCTGACAACCTACTGCTGCTGAGACTGCATTTTTTTTCTCACTGCATGAACAATGTAGGTGTTCAATAAATGTTTTCTTATTAGAGATAGGTCACTTCAACTCTTTGAAGCAATTTCTTAATTTAAGATTCTACTGTAAGTTAAGCACTGAAAAAATTAAATTAAGATGCTAAAATCAAGATCTGGAGGATGATCCAGGAGTTAAGGATGAATATTACTTTTCCAAAGAAACACGGCTAAGTTTCCAGTACCCAAATTGGGTAGCTCACAACCATCTATCACTCTAGATTCAGGGAATCTGATGCCCTGTTCTAGTCTCCACAGGGACCAGGCACACACATGGAGCACATACATGCAGACAAAAAATCCCACATATAAAAAATAAAAATAAATTGCAAAAAAAAAAAAAATTGAAAATAAAAGAGAAAGATTCTAATGCAATGAATTCTTTGAAAGTAAATGCTTCCTTGTTTTTAAATATATTTGACAAGAAACACCTGGTGACAAAACATAAATGTTTTAGAGCTTGAGAGATGGCTTAAGTATTTTTTTTAATTTTTAATTACGTAATTAATTAATTAATTTTTAAATTTTTATTTTTTGGTATTAATTACAGTTTATTCAGTTTTTATCCCAGCTGTAGTGCCCTCTCTCATTCCCTCCCAATTTCACCCTCATCTTCTCCCATGCTCCTCTCCAAATCCACTGACATGGGAGGACCTCCTCCCCTTCCATCTGGTCGTAGCTTCTCAGGTCATATCAGGACTCGATGCATTGTCCTTCTCTGTGGCCTGGCAAGAGGCCAGGCTCCTCCCCCCTCAGGGTTTGGGGTTGGTGGTCAAAGAGCCAGCCACTGAGTTCATGTCAGACACAGACCCTGTTTCCCTTACTAGGGAACCCACTTGGATACTGAGGTACCATGGGCTACATCTAAGCAGGGTTTCTAAGTTATATCCATAAATGGTTAGAGTATGAGTCTCAGAAAAGACCCCTGTGCCCAGATTTTTTGGTTCTGTTGCTCTCCTTGTGGAGCTCCTGTCCTCTCCAGGTCTTATTATCTCCCTCTTCTTTCCTAAGATTCCCTGCACTCTGCCCAAAGTTTGGTTATGAATCTCAACATCTGCTTTGATACCCTGCTGGAGAGAGTCTTTCAGAGGCCCTCCGTGGTAAGCTCCTGTCCTGTTTCCTGTTTTCTCCTTCTTCCAATGTCCATCCCGTTTGTACTGCTCTCAGCCACAGGACCTGGGTTTAATTCTCCGCATCCACATGGCAGCTCACAGAAGTCTCTAACTACAATTTCAGGGACCAAGGCCCTCTTCTGGTTTTCATAAGCAGCAGGTATGCATGTGGTGTACATACACACATGCTGACAAAACACTCATATGTACATAAAATTGATAATAATTTTAAAAAAAAAGTAACATACCTTGTAAGATAATCAGCAATTTTAGGATTCTTGAGGAGATCCATGAGTAGGTCAACTGAGTACTTTCTTGTTAGGGTACCATCACCATTTATGAGAATATTAAATATTAGTTGGAAAGTCTGATGAATGTTTCGAGCATGAAATAGCTTTGAAAAATTGGGAAAACTTCATTATACACAAAAAACTGTAAGTTGACATCTTACTGATTTTAAAATGTCTAATACTATAAACTCCAAATTAATTTCATGAACAGAATTACCTTTTCCCCGACTTCTTCATTTAGTGTCAAACTGGATAATATTGAAAGTGCAAACACAACCACTGTCAGACTGCTGTGTGCTAGGAAGCTTATGAGAGTTCGATAAAAAGATTTCACATTACTCTGAAGGAAAAAAAAAATAATGAATTTCATCTGTATACAGGACAAGCTTATTTACCATTATTATGAACTGTCTACACATGATTGTTACTTTTAAAAGATGAGTGCTCTAAATAGAAATTTTAGAACAGAAAAAAGTAGAAATTCCATGATTGTTTGATATATACAGAATTTATGATTAAGTTTTCTTTTCTTTTTTTTTTTATAAAGGTATCCAAATGGCAGTGTAAGGCCCTAGGATTCACCATTAGCAATAGCAATTAAAAAAGAAAACAAACAAAAAACTTGGAATTTAGAAATAGAACCTACTGCACAAACAAAACCCAAACTATCTACTTACCAAAGTTTTTATTTGTGTTTGAACAGAAAGATTGTATCGACAAAGATTTGCCAATAATCCTAGACAAGGCATTGTTAGCTCATCTTCAGAAGACTGTCTGTTGTAGAGAGAGAAAGCATGGTATTCACTCTAATTAGTCAAAATCAGAAAGTAATTAATATACCTAAGTTCCTTCTTACATGTAAAAACATGACAATCATATTCTGAATAATATTCCTTATTTTTTAGAAGTAAATTGTCCTATTCAACTATACCACAGAAATACAGAAATAATTGTTAAAACAACTGTGATATTTTATCATAGTCACCTATGAGGAGCATACAATGTTCACCTTGATTAATATTTTTCTTCTAAATTTAATTCGTTAAATCTTATGAAAATTAAACTTGCTTTACGATACTCAACCCTTGAAATCAACCAAGTGGTTAAGTAAACAAACAGTAATCTTAGTTTAAAAACCAAGATAGCAGGGAAGGCTGGTAAGATGGCTCAGTAGTTTAAGAGCACTTACTGCTCTTTAGAAGACCCAGGTTCAACTCCCAGTACCCATGTTGGACAGCACACAACTGCTTATAATTCAAGGGAATATGAAGCCCTCTTTTTTCCTCCACAGGCACCTGCACGCACATGATGTACCACAAATATGCACTCAGGCACAACACATACACATAAAATTAAACGAATAAATCTTTAAGCTGGAAAACATTACCTAAGGAGAAATGATCTACACACAATTTAAGTTTTAAAATAAAACAACAAATTATCTAATTACATGTTTTGTTGTATACTTACATATGACCAATCAAGAATGTAACTAAGTCATCTATATGGGCACCAGAATGGAAAAATCTGACATTATATGTTAACCTTTGCAGGAGTTGAATACACTGAAAATAAGAAAATAATTTTGAGTATATACATGAAAACATATTGACTGCTCATAAAAATGGACTACTGTAAACATTTTGAGAGCATCATTTCAGGAACAGAGCAAGGACCGTTTCTTAACTTTCATTTTATTTTAAAATATATATCCTAAAATCCTTGGGAGTCATGTCTTATATTGAGACTTTGAGTCATCTCTCCAGCGTGTGTGTGTGTGTGTGTGTGTGTGTGTGTGGTGTTGGGGGGGGTTATGTCTTAATTTATCCATTTCTACATATTTTATCCCAAGTCTTGTCATTGCTATGGTTTGAGTTACACCTAATTATGTCCACTAAGGGTGGGTCCTGTGATTTAAGCCTTAGTTGTTCAGGCTGGTGTTAACTGGGAGGTGACAGAACTTCTGGAAGTTAGGGTCTGAAGAGAGGTCCTGAAGTCACTGGACGTATGATTATTTCCATGTGACCCTGTTGGTAGTTCTTAAGAGAGGAAAGTCATAAAAGAAACATACCTGGTCTTGGTACCTCTCCTATCTTACCTTAGATTTGACAATGTTCCCATCCTTCACACTTGCCATGTTTATAGCCAGAAGACCCTTTGCCTGATCTAAGCTCCTGTAGATGGCACATTCTTGAACTACCAAACCCATTAGGTAAATACATCTTCTTCCTTATCAAATAAACTATTTCAAGTACTCAGCTGTAGTAACCAAGGATGACCACAGTCATCTGCCTTGTTTCCTTACTTACATTAAACTTGAATATAGATTGAAATTTGAGAATATCTTTTTCCTTTCACATTTTATCTTTATAACTGCATGTCAGTTTAATTGGTGATTTTTTTTTTTTTTGCAGATTATCACATTTTAGATTCAATAAAATGATGAGTTCAAGAGTTTTCAAATTATGCTAAGTAAGACTAAACCATAGCTTTAAATTTTTTAAGGTGCTTTTTCAATAGCGTGAGACTATAAACAAACCCAATTATAAATTTAACATGAAGAGCTCACGTTTCAAAATGCACATCTGTGTTCTTAAGTTAGTTGTAATGCTATAAGTTAAAGTGGTGATAATGCAGATCTGATTCTCTCTATTCCCTTCTTCAGAAAGATGTAGTCTGCATTTGTCCAATCAGCTCCTTATAATAACTCGGTCTGATCATGCCATATCAAAACTGTAACATAGCAGTACACAAAAGGTCTTACCAGTTCTGGGCTGAGAATAAAGAAGGAAGAACAGGTGACAATGTACTATGAAGATCAGTATACCTGTAAAAACACCGAATCATTGTGGCAAGTGCTGCTCCGACAAACCACTCCTGCCAGCACACTATTCAGATTGTATAGATTCTGAAGACAGTCTCGGCTTTCATTATCTAAAGCTAAAAGTTAAGATAAAATGGCATGAAATGCATCACTTTTATATGCAGACATTATTCGACAGAAGCAAAATAATGTTTATGTCATATAATCTTATTTTTAAAGGAGATAGAACATGACATAGCTGTTCAGTTTTGAGTTTTTGAATCAGGATTTCATTCTGTGGCCAAGACTGGCCTGGCACTTATGGCAGTTCTTCCTGTGTTAGGCCCAGGAGTGCTGAGGTTACAGGGTGAAGCCACCATGGCTGACCATAGTAGATCTTTTTTTTTCTTTTTTTAATTACTGCCCACCAATTTCAAAGTACAAATAATCTTTCTACTTAGAATTAATAGTAAAGAACAAACATGTTTTAAGTATGTATAGAAACTTGGCTGTTAAAGAGCAATATAACAGCTGGTTTGGTATTTTATGCCTGTAATTCCCACACTTAGCAGGTTGAGGCAAAACAATTTTGAGTTCTTGGTCAGCCTGGGTAACATAAAGTTAAAGTTAAAGTGGTGATAATGTGGATCTGGCTCTCTTTGTTCCCTTCTTGAAAAATATGTTTGCAGTTTGCATATGTTCAATCAGCTCCTAATCAGAACTATGTCTGCTCATGCTATGGCAAGATTATCATTTCAACTTCTTTTATAAATCCAAAGACTTAAAATATAAAGCTTACTACTTAAACATAATTTAAATTAGAAAGATATATATCAAACCAATAACTAAGATTATATCCCTAAAGGTAGCAATGATAAAAAAAAAAGTTGGGATAATGAATAACAACAAATATATTATCTAATATGACAGCTACTAGTCAATATGTAATTATTTAAAGATTAACTAGAGTAAGACTCAGCTCCCTAGACTTCAAATGGTAACAAGCCTATATGGCAAGAGGCTACTCTATTTTACAATACAAACTCAGACTATTTCTATCGCTAATAATACTTTTGAAAGCTCTGCTGAACAATGCAATATCTGTCTTTGCTAAACTACCTGAATCTTATAACCATATACAAAAATATCAAACACTTCTGTGCACATACAAATCAAGGAGGAAATGATCAACAGATGAACATTTAAAAGAAAACATGAAGGGAAGGAATAAAAAAAGCAACTTAGTTTATTTTTGGCTCTAAATTCAATACAGTTTATCACAGAAGGATCTCTGATTAGTAGCTATGTCCTTCTGATTGTTGTCTTTAATATTGGCACTATGTTCATGTGGCTTTTTGTTATTTTAAAATTAAACAAACTGACATTTCCCCATATTCATTCCTTTTTGTAGAACACGGAAGTCTTTGATATATGGAAGACTCTTTGATCCGATAATTTAAATACATTATATATATATACACATATGTATATACATATATACATAGATGTTTATCTATATGTATATAGATGTATCTATACATATATAGATGTGTATATATGTATATATCTATATATATATGTATGTGTTCATATGTATATGCATGTGTGTGTCTATACAAGGAGTTGTTTGAGAGATATGTAAGAATAACTCTAAAAGGTTGTACAATGAAGAAATCTTTTTAATGTAAATCATTCTTAAAGAATTTCTATGTACTATCTGTCCTTTAAGAATATTAAGTTTATAGTCTTCCAAACTCTGAAAAACAAAGTATGAATACATTACCCAGTTGAGACAGCAAACTGATAATACTTAAGATCAGTGAAGCACTTATGTTTGGGTCTTCAAGAAGTTCTACGAGGCAACTCAAGCATTCACTTGGCAGTATCTGATGTGATGTAAACAGCCTTGTCAGCTTTTGTCCAGAAACTATCTATAAAATGGGAAGTAAATGTGTTAAGGGCTAGTAATTTCTACTTTTTTTCCAATTCAAATAAACCAGTATTCTGAAATGCTACTTAGCCCTTTCTTTCCCAATTTAGAAAACGCACAACTGTTGTTCTCTCTGCCCACATATAGATGCTCTCCTTCTCCAGCTGAATTTTCTGATTTTAGTTTGTTTAATTTCCGCACAAAGATTTCCCTAAGCCATTTAGATCACGCAAATTTTACTTATTACACAGCCTTACACTCAACTCTTCTTTCATGTATTTTAACTTTTGAGTACCTGGTAATATTTATATAGCAGTTATACTGAGCACAGACTAAAATGTGCACTATTATCAACTAGATTTATGATTCTGAAGTTTGGTATACTCATTCCATCTACTGAGAGAATGAATGTGAGGTTCAGTGGACAACTAGTGACTGCTTTCAGGCTGAGCCTAGGAATCAGCAGATGATGCAGAAACAATTGGGTTAATAAAGAATATTTTAAAATGAAGCAAGCATAAGTTTTTAATAATTTTTACTTTTCAATCCAGTTATTTTTGTGAGGGAAATTCATTATAAACCTGGTACTTAAAGCCAAATAATTTGTTACTTTAGAATTAGACCAATGCATCTTATATACATACCATAAAAGATCACATCTAAGAGACTGCTTTAGTAACCCTAATTATTAAAGTCTAATTCTTCCTTCTATATCTCCCTTCTGTTTTCTCACTTCCTTAGAAACTTTGCTCTCGGAGTATCACAGTAGAATGTGTGTTAACATTAGTTATTTAGTCTGTAAGATGGAAAAGTATGTCCAAAGTAAAAACTATACAAACCGGCAACTTCTCTTGGGATCAAAACTTATTGAACATGGTTACATGATTTCTTTCATTTATTAAGAATTACAGCCCTAGCAGTGTAGTGGCGGTGGATGCCTTTATACCAGTATTCAGGGAGGCAGAGGCAGGCATATCTCTGCCAGTTCAAGGACAGCCTGATTTACAGAGTGAGTTCCAGAACAATCAAGGCTACACAGAGAAACCCTGTCTTGAAAAACAAGACAAAAAAAAAAAAAAAAAAAAAGACAACAACAACAAAACAACCCTCTAGAGGATGAAGACATTTTCTGTTTTAAATAAGAATGGGGCTGGAAATGTATCTCAACAAAAATCTAATATATAGTAATTAGTTAATACAAGGTAAAAGTTAAAATTTTTCTAATGAAAACTAGTTTATTTTAATGATAATATTTATATAGCACTTAAGCTGGCTTTGGCACTGACCTAAGTGTTTTACTTAAAATATGGTAACTCTTTTTCACTTTCATAACTCTGTAAATTTGGTGCTTTCGATTCAATTTTTATTTGAATAAACTGAGGCACACACTGATGATAAAGAAGCACAATCAGATTTATACCCCAAAGAGATGAATCTACACTTTTAATAACTAATTACATGGTCAGTGTTGTGAAATACTATCATTAAACACCAGAACCAATCAACTTGGCCTTGTCCATCAAGAAATGATTCAAAATACAGGTTTTGTGTGGGGTTATAAAGTCAAACTATGACAGCAGCAGCTCAGAAGAATGGCTAATCCCCCTTCCCATGATACACATTTGTGTAGTCTCAGAAACTGTTCTCGGTCTCTGCATGATGATGTTGACCATCAAAAACAAAACATTACCCTCAAAACGGTAAATACTAAGAACTAAGGTTGGCTGGGTGAGCAATGGCAAAGACGATTTAGTGCTGGAAAATAGGAAAATGCCACAATCTCCGTGAAAACTGTTTTCAGCAATTTGAAATAAAAGTGAATGTGGGTTGGATGGTTCAGCAGATGGGAGCATTTACTACTCTGGCGCAGGACCTGAGGTTGAGCCCCAGCACCCACCCATATCAAGCTGCTCACAACCCGCTGTAACTTCAGCTCAGGCGAGTAACGCAGCACCCTCTTCGGTCTCCTGAAGGAACTGCACTCACAGCATACATAAATAATTAAAATTAAAAAAAAAAAAAAAAAGGAAACATAAGCCTTTCTGGTAGGTGCATTCGATCGTAATAAAAATGTATGATTGGAATGCCTTCATTCATAATTCTACCCACCCAGTCCTGGAAAAAATCCAAATGTCTGTCGACCGGGAAATGTACATAACTTGTGGAACTCATATAAACGGGATTACATGTGACATAAAAAGGAACCCTGGTAGTATGTGCAATCTGAATTTCCCAAATGAATGAAACCACTCACTCAACATTCAACAGAGCGAACGAAATGCACTGGGAAGACAGACACCTAAAAGAAGGCAGGTAAAAGCACAGAAGCACTGATACACAGATACACACTCTTAACACATTCACACGAGGCCACGGTCCCCTCCTGTCACCCACACGAACGCTCACACCCAGTCTGCCGTTACCAGTGTAAGAACAGAGAAGCAGCTGAAGGGCTGTCCTCAGGCGTCCTGGGCCAGGCCGCCACTTGCTGGTCCCACGGGAACACAGAATCCCTGAAGGGGAGCACCCACTCGCGCCCCGAAACCCCTTACCTCCAAGTGCCTCAGGAGCTGAGTGGCGTTCGACTCCGACTTAACGGCTTTGTACTGATTGATGCTCAGGAGCAAGGACTTCAAGCAGGCAGTGGAGTCCATCTCGACGTCCTGTCAGCGATCAGAGCCACCGGCCAGCCGCAGACTCCAGCTGTAGCCGCGCTCTATTTTTGATTTTTTTGTAGGCTCCACCCTTTCCGTCCCGGATGCTTCCTGTTCCGGTCTGACTCCGGAAGTGTCTGGGCCGCCTCTGGGCCTGCTGCCTGTGATTGGGCGGGGTGGGCCTAGGGGCTCCGGAGGGGTTCGGGAATGTGGCTGGGAGCCGCCCCCGCCTCTCGGCCCCTCAGCCCCCTTCGGCGGAGAGGCCGCGAGCTTTCAGCCGGAGGTCCGCGAAGACGCGAGATCTCGCGAGGAACGCCACTACGGCGCAACCTGTGGAGGGGCAGCTAGGCGCGAGGGTGTCGCCGCATAGCGTGGGCTCTGGTTCCCGGGGATCCCTCGGCCTCGGCGCTGCAGGGTCTGGTTTTCGCTTGTGCGTCAGCCTCTACCCGAGACATGGTCGCTTTCCCCTAGTCTAGACACGGTGAGGAACTCGTAGCAGTTTCTTTGGGGCGTAGGTTTTGATGCGGCGGGGGGTGGGGCCTCAGGCTCTCCAGCCTCGGTCGCTTGTGTCCAGAGACGACTTGATGGAGGGTAAACCTGTGGGCGCCAGGGTTTCGCGGCAAGTTAGTTGTGACCTTACAATAGAATTTGTCAGACTCTCTAGGTATTACACCCCGGACTTGCTTCCCTGTGTGTTCTCCTCAGCGTTGGTTTCTATAAGGCGAAGGTGCCTTGTTCCTGTCTGGCATGCTTATTTTGTACATTTCTTGACTCCCAGAAAACCGCACTGTTGAGATTTTTTATTTAAATCAGAGGTAATGTTGTGCATTACATTGATCTGTAACGGAGTGAGTCAGCAACTGGTTCGGGAGTTTAAGCTAGGTTGTAGAATAGAGTACATGACCATTTGACTAAGAAGTTAGTCTGAAATGTTTTGTGAAATTGGAAAACTTTTTTTTTTTTTTTTTCCCTGTGCGTTACTACCTTTTAAAGACGGGATTTGTTTTCATATTAAAAACAAAAATTAAAGCTAACTGATGGCTGAAAATTATTGTGCTGTTGAAATATTCATGAAAGAATTTGTAGCGTGTATTTTCACTCATGCATGCATTCATTTATTCATTCATTCATTCAATTTTTTCATTAATCTCTTTACAGCCTGATCTCAGCCCCCTCCCTCCTCCCCTCCCCCCAGTCCCACCCTCATGCTCTCCTACTCCCCAAACCTTTCTCTCCCTTCTCATTGAAGGGGAGGTCTCCTCATTCATTCAGTTTTAAACAAATATGTATAATGGGCTAGCGATTGACTGCTATCCAGAACAAAGATGAGGAAGTGGTACTTTAGGAGAAATAAGGGAAGTCATCGAAGTAGAAAAGTACTTTTGGAATTCATAAGTGAGAAATACATCATCAGTAAAATGTGGAGCCAGTTTACTTATGAACGTTTTTCTACCTTTCTCTTTGTTTCTGCTTTTCACTGCTTCAATCTTTTCATGAAGTGAAATCCAGGAATAGTCTTTTTCGTGATTGCTCATTCAATAAATTTTTATTTGAGCTTCTACAATGGGATGAGTGCTGTTCCGGTCACTATTCAGTCTTTGGGCATTGGATTTAACATCTGGTAATAAAAAATGTCATAAGCCAAGGAGAAAAAATACTCTAGAGTAATAGTAATCAGAACAGGTAAAGAAGAGGTTAGAATAGGCTTCACTGGAGGGGTGGGGTGGCATTTGAGGAAATACTTTTGAGAAATCAACCATACTTTCTAGGAGAAAATGCTACCAATTAGTTGGAGTAACCTGGACAACTGGAAATACCAACAGAATGCCAGGAAGAGAATGAACTAGAGGCCAGAGTACAAGCATAGAAAGTAGAGATATTGTGAAAAATAAGGTCATGTATTGATCTTGGAGACTGTTATGAAATCAGTTTGTCAATGTGAGTTAAATTGTTGATTGATATGTCTTACATATGAAATACAGTCATTGGTAAATGGAGTTGCAAGAATATGGTCAAGATTTTTCACATATAATGACAGGTGTTCAGCATCCTCCCCATTTTTGCCAAGTAGGAAAGGACCCAAGCTGCCTATGTAGAGTGCCATCTTTACGATCTTTACAATTCCATAAAGTATTGGTGTCATTATTACCTCCATTTTCAGAAAAACGTCATACAGAATATTTTATAATTCTATATAAAGTTGAATAAGTAGTGTGCTTAAGAGCAGACCTGTGTACTGCAGAATGAGTCCAAATGAGATAATTTGCCATTTGTTTTTTGTAAACATGTTTTATTATCTGGATTTATATATACATCATAATTAGAATGATGTTGTTTTTTTCTTCCTGAGAGCAAAATATTTTCTGTGTTAACTATTTAAGCTTAGCACCATACATTCTTTTAAGATACTGATTCTAAATCCAGCACAGTTTTGTGTTCCAGGGAACAAGAGCATCTTGAAATAGATTGATTGCCCTAGTGGGGCTGACAGGAAGTAGTTTAGTTTACAAGTCAAAATTTTTAATAAAACTTTTTTGAGAAGATAAAAATAATTGGCTTTATTTTCAAGCTATTAGCATTGAGACCGGTGTGAGGTCTACTTTAATTGTCCTCTGCACTAGTAAGTTTTCCACCTGCATTCTGTAAGTGCCAGAGTTGGGATGGGTAGAGAATTCGTGGACCTTTGCATAGTCTCTGAAATGGGAACTTAACTAACAAATTAGTCTTGGGTAGCTTGGGCAGGTAACTTAGTCAAGATGAACACTTGAATGGATTTTTGCAAAAATACACTCATGTACAGTCTGGGGGGAGTGACAGGTATATAGCCCAAGTGTTTAAAGTACAAATAGTTGTTATGTCTACTAACCACAGCCTTAAAAAATTGAAACCAAAACCACTTTTATAAATGGATAAAAGATTTTGCTGTAATAGCAGTAAATAAAAATGAGAGCTTAGAGCTCTGTAGCAAGAGCACAAAAGACTTTTTACTGATACAGATAACTACTCTTCTGCCAGTGAAAACCAGCCTCTGGATACAATCATTGATGGATGAGATGGTTAGGAAGTTAACAGTGCACTTCAGCTTACCCTCCAGTCAAACAGGAGCCTGATAAGTTCCGCCAAAAAGCACTCTCAGTTGCAGGAAGACTGAATTGTCTTTCCTGCAACAGGAAAGTCTATTGAAATGAACGCATGGTGGAAACTAGATTCACCGTCTGCTATGTAATCCTGACTTTAAAGGTTTCTTCTGACCTCTTCTAGAACGTTAAGTACTTCTGTCCTATTGTAGTTGTACAATGGTAGTATATCAGTCTTGCTGCTTCCTTTTGGTTACTAGGCTCTTAGGTCTTCCCAGCAGAGGCTGTAAAATGCAAGTGTTGCTGCTAGGCACACATACCTGCTCTGCTAAACATTGATAATCTGCTCACCTGGAACTTTCTTCGTACAGATGTGTCACAGGTTGCATTTTAAACAGAAAAGCTGCTGGCCCTTCTTAAATATTAATTTAGCATATAAATGTCTTGTTTTTTTTTTTTTAATTTCTCACCTCTTTACATCTTAATACAGAACAGCTTAGAGAGAACTTCTGCAATTTTCCTTGTAGCCAGATTTTCCTCAATCTTTACATAAATCTTTCTTGTGATCTCCATAGTTATTAATTAAAGGAGAACTTACCAATCTTGAGTATGTCACATATGCTCTTTGAAACTACCTCCTAATTACTGGAGGAAAAAAAAAAGTGTCTAAAGGGAATAAATCAGGCCCTATCTTTTCTCACACTTTGTAGGAAAGATATGGAGATCCATTGTATTTATATTGTTGTCAGTTTCCTTTCTTTTCTTCAATATTTCTTCCCTTGTTCCAGAGCATCTAGCAACAGTTTCATTTACATTTACTTGCTGTGTTGGTTCTGAGTTTACTAAATGGAATCAGTAAAGGAAAGCCAGCCGAACAGAGGGTCCTGAGTCTAGAGGCATAAACACTCCATGAAGGAGATCAAGTGGGACTAATTTTATAGAAAAGTTGTTCTTGGAATAGAGCTAAATAAATATCCAAAAATATCTTTAGTCTTATTGTTTCATTTGTATCGTCTGCATATTTTTTGGTCTTTCAAGAAACATCTGCAAAGAGCTGGGCATCGTGGCATACACTTTTAATCCTAGTGCTTTGGAGGCAGAAGTAGGTAAATTTCTGAGTTCAAGGCCAATCTAGTCTATGTAATGAGCTCCAGGACTTAAGACCCTGTCTTAAAAAAAAAAAAAAAAAGCCTGGGGAAGAGAAGAAAAAGAGAAACATCTACAAAAGTTCTTTGGTATCCGATCTGGAGAATATACAAGAACTTACTACATCTCACCTCGTATTTTATGGAGCTGTACAATTACATGGTTTGGGAAGGAAAGTGGCTGTGTATGTAGCATCCTTATACTGAAAAGAAAAGAAATGTCCATTACTATTAATATTATAATTAAGTAAGAACAGATATTCTTGTATAGTAAACCATTTGGAAATATCCATTAGTAACTCAACAATGTATCTTTTACTGTGAACTTACTATAAAGAAATAACATTAATACAGTAAAAGTGTTATAAACCAATAGAGTTTGTAGATCAGTTATAATAGGAGAAATGGGATATCTTGTATGCCGTAAAAAGATGGTTAAGAAAATCCTAATCAAACGTTATTTGTGGTGATACAGCCTTCACTCACAGAAGCATCATAGTTCAAGTCTTGCCTACACTACAGTGTGAGATCAAGGCTAGCCTAGGCAGCTTAGTGAGATCTTGTATCATCATATCCATGAATATTTGAATATTGTAAATTGGTCTTGATCATATGTATATATGCTGAAAGTTAGATGGGTAAAGAAAGAAGAGTAATCTAGGAGTATTTGGGAAATTAATATGATCAAAGTGTGCTGTAAAAATTCTCAAAGAACTAATAGAAATAAAAAAAAATATAAACAGGTAGGAAATAGAACTTGAAAAGTAGGTAGAGCACTTGTCTAGTGCACAGTTCCCAGGAGTAGAAAAACAAAATGAATAACTGTTTTATTGCAAACAAAAATTTTAATGCAAACAAAAATAAGAGATAGTTTTGATAAAGCATTCAGTGCTGCAAAAGAATAGATTTCAATATGATAAACTGATAAAACATACCTATGCCTAGAAAAAATGGATTCCAGATGATTATATTTGTATGTTAAAACTACATTATTATTTTATGGAAATACTGAGAAATTTTAAAAGCAACCATGTACTGGTCTATACAGGGAAGAAAGGAAAAAAATGTATCTTCCTAATAAAAACAGTACTTTTCTTCTTATAGCTTTAAATGGCCATGGCAAAAGTCAGTTTGCAAGCACTGGAATAAGTCTTATAAAGGAACATTTTGCAACATGGATTCTCTCACAGAAGAATTTTTTGTGAGGTAAGCAACCAAACTGCAGATGTTATATTCCAAAGACAATATAGCATTAGACTTTTCTTCATGAACTTTGAAAATTCTTACATATATCACTGTGTTTCAAGGTAATTTAGCAGCTTTGATTATAGGGAATTGTAGACTGAGTAAAACGCAGTTTTTCTTTTTTCTTTTTTTATTATATTTATTTGGTTTTTAATAAATTACAGTTTATTCACTGTGTATCCTTGCTGTAGCCCCCTCACTCATCCCCTCCCAATCCTACCCTCCCTTTTTCTTCTCCTCCCATGCCCCTCCCCAAGTCCACTGTTAGGGGAGGTCCTCCCTTTCCATTTGACCCTTGCTTATCAGGTCTCATCAGGACTGGCTGCATTGTCTTCCTCTGTGGCCTGGCAAGGCTGCCCCTGCCTCAGGGGAAGGTGATCAAAGAGCAGGCCACTGAGTTCATGTCAGAGACAGTGCTTGTTCCCATTACTAGCGAACCCACTTAGAGACTGAGCTGCTATGGGCTAGATTTGTGCAGGGGTTCTAGGTTATCTCCATGCATGGTCCTTGGTTGGAGTATCAGTCTCAGAAAAGATCCCTATGCCCAGAAGTTTTGGTTCTGTTCCTCCTTGTAGAGGTCCTGTCGCCCCCTGCACTCAGCCTAAAGTTTGGCTGTGAATCTCAGCATCTGCTTTTATACCTTGCTGGGTAGAATCTTTCAGAGGCCCTCTCTGGTACGCTCCTGTCCTGTTCCCTGTTCTCTCCCTGTCTCCTGTTTGCCTTTCTGAGTGAGGATTGATAATCTTACCCAGAATCATCCTTGATTAGCTCCTTTAAGTGTACAGATTGTAGTATGTTTATCCTATGTTGTATGGTCTAATATCCACTTATAAGTAAGTATATAACGTGTGTCTTTCTGCTTCTGGGATACCTCACTCAGGATGATCTTTTCTAGATCCCAACAGTTGCCTGCAAATTTCATGATTTCCTTGTTTTTAATTGCTGAGTAGTATTCCATTATGTAAGTGTACCACAATTTCTGTATCCATTCCTCCGTTGAGGGACAGACATCTGGGTTGTTGCCAGATTCTGGCTATTACGAATAAAGCTGTTACAAACTTGGTTGAGCAAATGTCCTTATTGTATACTTGAGTATATTTGGATATATGCCTAGGAGTGGTATAGCTGGATCTTGAGGAAGCACTATTCCTAATTGTCTGAGAAAGTACCAGATTGATTTCCAAAGTGGTTGTACAAGTTTACATTCCCACCAACAATGGAGGAAGGTTCCCCTTTCTCCACATCCTCTCCAGCATGTATTATCACTTGAGTTTTTGATCTTAGCCATTCTGATGGGTGTAAGGTGAAATCTCAGGGTCGTTTTGATTTGTGTTTCCCTGATGACTAAGGATGTTGAGGATTTCTTTGTTTTTCTGCCATTCGATAGTCCTCTATTGAGAATTTTCTGTTTAGCTTTGTACCCCATATTTTAATTGGATTACTTGATTTATTGCTTTTTAACTTCTTAAGTTCTTTATGTATGCTGAATATCAGCCCTCTGTCACATATAGAGTTGGAGAAGACCCTTTCCCAATCTGTAGGCTGTTATTTTGTTATGATGACAGTGTCCTTTGCTTTAGAGAATCTTTTCTGTTTCATGAAGTCCCATTTATTGATTGTTGATCTTAGCACCTGTGCTGTTGGCGTTCTGTTCAGGAAATTGTCCCTTGTGCCATTGAGTTCAAGGCTCTTCCCTACTTTTTCTTCCAACAGGTTTAGTGTTTCTGGTTTTATGTTGAGGTCTTTGATCCTCTTGGACTTTAGTTTTGTGCAGGGTGATAAATATGGATCTATTTTCATTTTTCTACATGTAGACATCCAATTAGACCAGCACCATTTGTTGAAGATGCCGTCTTTTTTTTTTTTTTTTTTTTTTTCCATTGTATGGTTTTGGCTACTTTGTCAAAAATCAAGTATCCTCAGGTGTGTGGGTTTATTTTTGGGTCTTCTGTTTGATTCCATTGATCCACCATTCTGTTTCTATACCAGAACCATGCAATTTTTATTACTATTGCTCTGTAGTACAGCTTGAGATCAGGGATGGAGATACATCCAGGTGATCTGTTGTTTTACAGGATTGTTTTAGCAATTCTGTTTTTTTTTGTTTTTGCATATGAAATTGAGAAATGTTCTTTCAAGGTCCGTAAAGAATTGTGTTGGTATTTCGATTGGAATTGCATAGAATCTGTAGATTGCTTTTGGCAGGATGGCCAAAAGCCAGGTTTTCGAAGAGATCTTTAGGAAAACTCCTCTAGCTTAAGTAAAAAGGACCCTAGAGTGTGCCATATCTGGGGGCAATTTTTTAAAGGTACAGTCATCACTTAATTTTTTTTCTTTCTTAGGTGTTTGGCTGTTTTGCTTGTATATATTTGTGTGGATCTTATGTGTGCAGTGTGGGAAAAAGCCAGAAGAGGGATTAGATCCCTTGGAATTGTAATTCATAAATATGAGCTACAATGTGGTTTCTGTGAATTGAAATTGGGTCCTCTGGATGAGAAAAGAATGCTCTTGACCACCAAGTGATCTCTCCAGCTCCACTTGGGACATTTTTTTCTTTTTAAGCAAGGTAGTGTTTTAACAGGCACTTAACATTGACTATATTGTCTTTATTTTTGTAGTTTTTTTAAAATTAATTCTTACTTTATACAAGGTAGCAAGCATAACATAAAAGACCTATTTATTGGTTCCTTGGTACTTAGAGAGTAAGACCTAAGAAAAAGGCATTGTAAGTAGAGTGTCTAATGTAGTAGGAACATATATAAAAAGTATATCTGTAGGCAAAGTACATAAGTAAAATATTGCAGACACTGTGTTTGTAGGAGAAATTATACTGATTATACTTTGAATTTTCATACAGTGACATTAGACTTGATTTTTAAAGAAGAGAAACATTTGATGAGTGTACAAGCAGGAGAGAATAGAAGATCATTTTAATTGGAAACAGCAACAAAATATACTTAAGAGCCTAAGTTAGTTGTATGTGCCTCTAATGGTAGCTAATCACAGTCTAAGGTAAGAGGTCGTCAAATATGAAGTGAGCCTGCAAAATTTATTCCTTGGCCCTGGAAAATGATGATGTAGTTCAGTAGTAGAGTACTTGCCTAACAGATACTGATTTCTAAGTTCAATCCTACCACTACACACACCCCTAAAGTATATACAGAACAAAAACAAAAAACAAAACCAGAAAGGAGAGCATACTTAAGAATTTTTAAAAAATTTATTCACTTTACATCCCAGTTGTTGTCCCTCCCTCAACTCTTCTGCTCTTCCCCTTCCTTCCTCCTTCCCCGTCCCGCCCTAGTCCTCAGAAAGGGGGAGGCCTCCTCCCTTACCATCTGACCACAGCCTATCAAGTCTCATCAAGACTGTCTGCATCTTCTTCCTCTGTAGCCTGGCAAGGCCAACCCCGCCAGGCTACATCTGCATCTTGGACTGAAAACTATATTAGAGTGATTATGAAATGGACGTAGCAAGTGTTGGAGGTCATATTGCATTCCTTCAGTTCTTGAAAGGCTTCAGACTACTGCTACAATCATTCCTAGATAATATGAGATTGTTAGGAAACTAGGAAATTTAAAAAAATAGTTAGCTATGTGTACTGAGAGCCATACTTTGGATTGTTTCTATAGTCTCAGTCTTCCCAGATGAAATCAGTTTATACATATTAAATGACTCAATTGCACACATAAATTAAAGCAAGTGATATTTTATAAAGTATAATTTTATGTAATTCAGTTTTTCACCTGAATATTTTATGTACCACTATGCTGAATTATTAAGAGCACAGAAATCACATATGATCCTATATTATAATTCCTATCTGAAACAAAACAATTTTATAAATTGTTAGGTCATTATATAACATTGCATATGTTAACACTGGAGTCAATATTAAAAGCAGAAGCTGTCAAGTTACTACTTATTACCAAAATAACTCATGAGTTTTAAATCTGATTGATAGTCTTTCTCAATGAATGTGTTTTGAAAATCTGGGCAAGTTAATACTGGAGTCAATATTAAAATCAGAAGCTGTCAAGTTACTGCTTATTACCAAAACAACTTAGGAGTTTTAAATGTGCTTGATAGTCTCTCTAAATGAATGTGTTTTGAAAATCTGGGCAATTTTAAGTTTAGACGTTCTTAGCCAAAAATAAAGTTATCTATATGAGAACTTTTAATTCCTGTATTATGGCGTATACCTGTTATTTATTTGTTTTGATTTTTTTCTTATTTTTGAGAGAGAGAGAGAGAGAGAGAGAAACAGAATATAAAATAGGGAGGATCTGGAAGAAGGAAATATATTGTATAAAATTAAAGAAAAAACATTCCAAGAAAACAAGTGTTATTGTTTGTGTGTATATACATAGGTATATATGCACATGTACATGTTTATATATAAAAACAATATATATACATGTATATATATTATTTATATATATATTTATATATACACCTTCCTAGCCACATATGTGTGTGTGTGTGTGTGTACACACACACTTTCCTAGCCCTTTTTTATGTTTTTTTCATACATATCCATATACATAAAGAAAATCATCCTTTCCAAAGACTTCTTCACCTTGATATAATGCTATAAGCTTGTGTGTATGGTCTGTGAGTTTGTGTGTGATTTATATGTATGAATGCGTACACTTACCCCTTTAGAACTGTGTAGAATTCTGAGATCAATGTCAGGTTTTTTCCTCTATCACTGACCTCCCTTAATTTTGAGGCAGCATCTCTCACTGAGCTTGGAGTTCCTCTTTCTATTATGCAGGCTGGCCAGGTGCTCTATGCAGCCACCACCACAGCAGCTTTGGGGATGTTATGCCTAACTTTTTAACTTGAGTTCTGGGAATACAATCTTAGGTCCTTAGTTTTGCAGAGCAAGCATATTTCCAGCTCTGCTAGTAAGGTTTTCCCCTATATTTTTTAGCTGTTGTGCATCTGGTAAATGTGCAGAGTTGAATATACCAGTTTGCTGGGTTTTCTACCATTATTAAGAAAGGGATTAGCATAACTTTCCCCTAACTTGAACCTCCAAAGAGATGCAATACCTATTTCCATGTCAGACTTTGATATACACTTATGATACTTTTTTGGCTTTGAGATAATGGCTCAGTTCTTTGATTCTTTACTGCTGATTTTTTTATATTTGTGAGAACATTCTCTTAATACACCTTTTTTTTTTTTTTTAAAGTGGAAATCCTGATGTAGAAGAGCAGACCAAGGAAGAAACTGAGAATAAAGTAGAGAATCCAGTCAGTGAGCTGGTAAGAAAAAATTAATTCTCATTAATGTTTAGTAAATTAGCATTGAGTTATTATATGAAGTCATATTGCAAAGACTACGTGTAAAATTTTTAGCAAGTCACTTTTTGAAAATGCGAATTTTTTGTAAATTCCGAGATGATTCGTCAATTTCTGAGATGATTGCTGCTGTATGTCAAGGATATTCTAATCTTCATGAGAAGCTGAACTGACTTACCTAGAAACATCTTAACAATCAGGCTTCATTTGTTAATGTGTTTTTTATTGCAGTACTGTAGATGAAGTCATACTAGGCAAGCACTATATCCTCCTAACCTCATTTATCATGAAAAGGAAAATTTCAAACAAAATCAAGCTGGGAATATATATATATTCTAAGCTAGGAATATATATATATATATATATATATATATATGCATATACACATATATATGTATAAATACAGATAGATAGATAGATAGATAGATAGATAGATAGATAGATAGATAAAAATGAAACATTCCACAGTTGTGCATTTTTGGTAACTCAAGCTCTTTGGGTCTATAATAAGCTGTTTGTTTGGATTGTTAGGAACTGTGATACCATATTCTCAAAGCTTGTATTGTGAGGAATGGTTTATTCTTGTGTTTTATGGTTCTATCACTTACATACATATATATGCATATGTATATACATACACACATGTATATATGTATGTATGCACATATACACACATGTATGTACACATATGTACATATACACACATGTCGTTATGTATATGAAAGAACTTCTTTAAAAATATTTTTGTTAATTTTATTGCTAGAATAAATGAAATTATTATTAGGTATAATTTAATAAATTAAATGTCTTATAGGACAAACAGAAAATGGATATACGTGCTGATCTTGACCCTGTTAACCCACTATTAGAAGTGAAGAAGCTATTAAATGCAGTCAATTCTCTCCCGAAAGGTGTGTTCCCTAACATTGAAAAGTTCATACAAGAAGATTTGTCCTTCCAGACTATGCAGGTAACAACATCATTTCTCTTACCTGCAGATGTACAGTTGTCGCACATGACTTTTTTTTCTTTAAACATTTTTTTTTAATTTTATTTTTTTCTTATCAGTTACATTTTATTAACTCTGTATCCCAGCCGTGTCCCGATCCCTCATTCCCTCCCAGTCCCTCCCTCCTTCCCTCATCTCCACCGTGCCCTTTGCAAGTCCACTAATAGGGGGGACCTCCTCCCCATTCATCTGATCCTGTTTTATCAGGTATCTTCAGGACTGGCTGCAAAGCTCTCCTCTGTGGCCTAACAGGACTGCTCCTCCCTTGGGGGGGGGGGAGGCCAAAGAGCCAGTCATTGAGTTCCTGTTAGAAATAGTCCTTGTTCCCCTCACTATGGGAAACCAATTGGTTACTGAGCTACCACAGGCTACATCTGAGCAGAGGATCTAGGTTACATTCATACATGGTCCTTGGTTGCATGTCAGTCACAGAAAAGACCCTGTGCCCAGATATGTTTGGTCCTTGTGGAGCTCCTATCCTTTCCTCATCAGACTAACTCCCCTTCTTTCTTATGGTTCCCTGTACTCTGCCAAAGGTTTGGTCATGAGTCTTTGCTTTGAAAACACCGCTAGTTAGAGTTTTTCAAATGCGCTCAGTAGACTCCTGTCAATATTTAATGTGTATCCCATCTGTCTTTCAAAACGAGGATTGATAATCTTACTCCATGTCCGCTCTCTCCATCTGATATTTACAAAATGTTTTTCTGTCAACCTTGACTATGGATTTATAAACAAAATTTTTAAAAGTCATCATGTAGTTGTAGTAGTAAACTATAGAGTTTAGTGGTTATTTTGAGTCAAAATGTAACATGTGCCACTCCTGGCCAGGGACCATTGTTTTTGTTTTCTTAATTTAAAAAACATTGACAATTTTCTTCAAAAATGTAAGGAAAATATATAATTTTTGTATTTATTAATAAATTAATTGTATATAGAATGTATAGTAGATTGGGATCATTTTATATCCTTTCCGCTTTTGACCACTTTACAACTGAGAAATTATTACATCACCCAGTTGTCTAATATGCAGATCAAACAGTACTACTAAGAAAACATAAATTTATTTGATATAGATGCAATTTGACATTTATTAAAAACACTAGTAACTAATATGTTAGATGTTCACTTTTACACAAAGAATTAAATCTTGGATGAATATTTGTATTACAATGTAGTAAAATTTTCCATTGTTAAAAAAGTACATGTGTTGTTCTTTACTGTTTTGTTTTGTTTTTTTTTTAGACAAGATCTTACTATTTAGCCCAAGCCTTCCTGCAACTCTGTATGTAGACTAGACTGTCCTCCTACTCAGAGATTTGCCTGCCTAAGTCCGCTGAGTGTTGGTGTTAAGATATTCAACACCATCCCTGACTCTGTATTTTGATTTTATAATTATCAATGTTGAGTGTCTATTTTCTAGACACAACAGGAGTGGCTGTCAGTATTCTGTCTATACCAGAAGCTCAAACAAAAGAATAGGGTGTTAAAAGCTCTACCTAGCATCTAGACAAAGAAACATTCTATGTGTGCTAGAAAATGGGAGGAATTAGAAGTGGGATTGATATCTTTTTTAAAGTAGTAGAAATGTTGCCAGCTTCTTGCTTGTCAAGGCAAAGAAGTGTGTATGTAAGAAAATCCCTGATTAATTTAGATTGGTTAACAATAAGCATAATCTTTGTCTTCAACAAGGTATATACATTTTTCTTTTTGTATAATGTATTTAGAAATTCAAACTCTCAGAAAGTATCATCTCAATTATACTTCGCAGAGGGAAGTCGCAGCTAATGGCCAGGCTGGGGAAGAAATTGTTCCTGCTTTAACATTACATTTTTTGATAACACAACTGGAAACAGCACTTAGAAACATTCAAGCTGCTAATTATACTGTGAGTATTTTGCATCAAATGTTTGAGATCATGGACTTGTATAACTTTTTATATTATTATTATTGTGAGAACAACAGCATGTGCCTATTTGTATTTTTCTTAGATTAAAAGACACTTGAACTAGTGGGACTGGACATCCACTGTTATAAACAGTCATGAACTTTAGGAAATCATTCAGACACAGAAAAATAGCTACATAGAGTCCAAAATGTTGAACAGAGAATAGGATCACAGTCACCAAGGTAGGATGGAAGGGAAGAGTTGAAGAGATGTTGGTCAAACTCTATGAAACTTCAGTTAGATTAGAGGAAGAATCTTTGAGAGAGCTATTACACCTTATTATGATTATGGTTAACAATGTATTGCATTGTTAAGAATTGCTGGTTAGATTATAAATTTTTACCAAAAGAATGATAACTATGTAAGGCCATTCATGTAGAATGAACTTTATTTAGTCATTCTACAATATATATTTAATTCAAATATTGTTGTATATCATAAATGTGTATTTGTCAATTAAAATTTTAAAAAAATAGTCCCTCATTTTTGCTACTTATTAGCCTCTTCTGTTTTGTTACCCTGCTGTGTCTGCAGGACACATATTTTTTTTTCTTCATCCACTATCTCAGTCTCTTAGACTTTCTGTTCTGCTCACAGTGACCTTTGAGTCTTGGAAGAAGGGGTTGTATTAATTATGTACCATTCCACAGTCACTTTGACCAATTATAGATCTCCATGCTAATCACTATCTACTGCAAATAGAAATTTATCTGATAAAGGTTGAGAAATATTTTAATTTATTATAAGTCATTAGGAGTCAGCTTAATCCTATTTAAGAACATAACAGTATGAGGACTTGTGACCTGTCTAGCCTGATAGTAGTGCCAGAGATGGGTTTTTTCCTTCAGGAGCAGGACTTAAATCTAATAAGAAAGTTGCTGGTTACTCATAAGATGTTTGTGTAACCGTTGCACCAGTGGTTATTAGGCCAAACACTATTATAACTCATATAGTTCACACATAGGAATTGATGATTATTTTTCTCCTCCTGTAGTGTATATAAAACGTTCTAACACTGTGAAAGCCAGCCAATGGAGGTGATGGTTCTAGCTCAGTACCATTCTATGACTCAAGTACATTGTATCTCCAGCAGTACTGTACAGTTCTGGAGAATAACCAGAAGCAGTGCTTGAGTATCTACAGGATAGACACTCATTGACCAACAACATGAAAGAACTAACCCATATTGGCAGTGGGCTTTTTATTTGTTAGCCTGTAGAGTTTTTTGATAACTAGAATGGTATGTAATTTAAGAGAGAAAGCTTATTTTTTAAAAAGCTAAATGAAATGACTTTTAATTGAATTTGCTTTGATTTTTTTTGATCAAATTCCTTTTGCAGATAATTTTATTAAATGAAAAACATGCTTCTCTGTGGTTATTAGCAAGTTATGGGTAATAAAATGAAAATTTGCACTATTTTTAATAATTATTAAGTAAGTAGGTCAAAGGACTTTCAGTTTAATCCTGTTAAACTGAATAGTAGCATGGTGTAAATAACCAATTGATAAACTTTTTTCTTAGGCACACCAAATCAATATTGGTTATTACTTGACATTACTGTTTTTATATGGTGTGGCACTTACTGAAAGAGGAAAGAAAGAGGTATGTAGCATGTATTATTTACCTTATAAATCTTTTTATATACTTTGGCATCATTGTAGCAATTGAAAGTGTTGATTTAAAAACACAAAACAAAACAAAAACCTTGAAGACTTCCTATAACTTTTTTCTTCTTATTTGTATTAGTCAATAACTATGTTGAAGATTTGTGTTGTGATTAAAAATAAAGAGTAAACAATACTAGCTTATACTTAAGCAATCTTTTCTAAGACTTTTTATCTCTTTTAAATATTCCTTATTTGTATGCTTAATGCATATCAATCTATTTTAAACAAAGCTTAATCTCTTTTTATTTAATCTTACTTTTGTGAAATATAAATTTACCTCATTTTCTTATGTTGTCAAATGAAAGTGAAACCAAATGAGTAAAAATCTGGAAATAAAATAAAAATATTCTTTTTAAATTTGTCATTGATTATGTTATTTAAATTTTTATAGCCTTGATAATCTTTTACTTTCTTTTTTACCAATCCATGCTCTTTACTAAGTTTTATTATACACATACACACCCCAGAAGCATCTTGGGACCAAGTCTAATCTTAAGTTACAAGTCTATATTATGCTACATTTCTATATTGTGTTTTGCTTTTTACAAGAAACTATACCCATGGCTAAGGAGTCACCTATTCCCAGTTTTCAAAGCGAGGAAGATTATACTGTTACTAGGGTTTTTTTTTAATAATGATAATTACATTCTAATAATTGTCAGATGTGTTTGTTTGACAATTTTTTGCTATTTTAGATCCAAAAATTGTTATAATTTCCCTTGAAATAGTTAAAAATCTGGAGTTAAAGCTTTTGTTTATAAATGATGTTACTTAGTACCTTATCTTTATAGTCATTTTTAGAGATGATAAGATTATAGATATTAATACGTGACCAGATGCCTGGCTCATCATTCTTTTCTTAAATGTATCCTAAATTTTTCTAGTTGGGGAAAGAATATCTACTTTAAAGGAAAAAAGCATATTTACATAGCTAACTATTGTGCCACTATAGGACTGCACAGAAGCTGAAAATAAATTTTTGGTGATGAAGATGGTGATCCAAGAGAATGAAATTTGTGAAAACTTTATGTCTTTAGTTTACTTTGGACGTGGTTTACTTCGATGTGCTCAGAAGAGGTAAGCATTTTATTTATAGGTATATCTTTACTGCTAACTTTCATTATTAAAAAATGGGAATCATATTTGCACAGCCTACCATTGATCACAACATTTGTCATCTCAGAGTGTTTTTCTTTCTAGTTGTGGTAGTTAATAATTCCATGCAGTTGGAAATAGTAAATGTGGACCATGGCAGTTTGACGCAGTCCAGCATCAACATTAGTAATATGGGCTTTAGAATCTGACAGACCTGATTTGAATACAATTTTTCTACCACTTACCCTAAGAAACTTAACTTTGCTAAACCTGATTATTCTGATATCTAAAATGAAACAAAAATATCTGTATAATAAAAAATATACATAAACTATTTACAGGGTGAGTAACAGTGTGCGCACACACATACACACAAACCCACAGTAGATGATAAATGATGATTGTAGTTACTGGCATTCTTACCACTGAGTTTTTTAAGTATAAGTGCCCTGATACAGAATTAAACCTATCTGTAGTCCCAGCAATAAGGAGTTAGAGATAGTTGTATCATGAGTTCAAAGTCAGCCTAGGCCATAGAGTTAGTCTTCTAAGAACTGAAAGCAAACAAATGAAGAGAAGAAAGGTCCAAGTATTGAGCTCTATGCATCCGAAGTGTTATGTATTTTAAGAACGTGAAATTATACAGTGAAACCTACGTAAGGTCTTTGTTTGCTTCTCTGTGAATATTTGTCACATCAATCATTTGTAGTATTTACCTTAAACATCTATCATAGATCAAGGATTGTGCTGGGGCCTAGCAATATAATACTTTACAAAACAAGGCAGTTGTGCTTATAGAACTGAAAGTATTGTGAAGGATACAGATTTTAACGAAATAATCATTCAAAATAGTCAGTAATGAAAAATGAAACCTGTAGAGGGAAATATGGTAAATAATCAACAAAAGTCTGAGGATGTGATTGTTGACTGGGACATAAAGGATCACTAAGAAAAAGATATCCTCTACCATGACTCTTTTGTGCTAGGGAATCAGAGAGTTTCCATTTCTTATTCACTGAGTCTGGTTAGAATGACATCATCGATGTACCAGGGTCAGTATGATGATTTGTGGAATGTAAAGATCAAAATGGAAAGATGGTTCTTTGATAGTGTGAGATACTAAATGTAACCCAAATCAACACAAAGATATATACTGTTATCTTTCCTGAGAAAGGCAAACTACTTTTTTTTTTCTGTGTTATATTAGAGCTCACAGAGAGCTGCCTGCCTCTGCCACCCCAGTGCTGGGATTAAAGGCATGTGCCACCACTCTCAGCTTTCTTCTGTCTTGATTAGAGTTGAAGAGAATATTCTCTAGATCATTAGTACCCCAAAACCAAAAGTACCCAAAAGTGTCAGAATCATACTTTTTATTTTTAGGTTGTTTTTCTATATTTCAGCAATGTCTTATACAAGTGCATTTGGTCTTTGAAAATGGTAGGTTGCTGAGCTTTGGTTGTAGTATTGATACACTTGATTAAGCAAATCACCTTACCAAAAATTACAATATTCTATACAACTAATGTTGGAATAAAATAGAAATAAACAAAAAAATTGGTCAAATAGCAGAAATAGTAGCTTTTGAAAGCTAACAAGTGAAAGGAACACAACTATGCATTTCTTCCCTGGACTAGAGGATATCACTGAGCTTATTGAAGTCATTGATGCCCGTTCATTATATATTTCACCGCATTGGTCAGTGCCTTTTCCAGGAACATTACACCTTTGATTGCTATGTCCAGTGCAAATCCAGGAACAGACCTGCCTGGGGTAGCAAGGGAATCTACAAACACAGTCATAGACGTGGACAGAAACTGGGATCAGGTGGTCTAGGCTCCCAGCTAGAAAACCACAATTCCCTGGAAGCTCAGCATGTTTGTTATATACAGTTGAAGAGTCTGAATAACTCAGACAGGCAGAGTTATTACATAGAGTTGAACAAGAAGGCAGGGTTATTACATTCAGATAATGAGTGACAGGTTTCATTGTATACAGCTGGATCAAGGGGACAAGTTCAGCTAATGTAGTAGGAGCAGTCTCTGTAAGGGAGCAGTCTTTCGTCTATAAATATAGAGAGGCAAAAAGCTGTGTTGACATTTTCTGCACATAATTGTCAGTGCTCACACTTGGCCCTCTAAGAAAGGCTTTGCCATCCTGAGCCTGTAGCCATGGGATCTTTGACAGGACCATGACCAAATTTACTCAGGACTTCACTCACTCAGGGCTTTATCCACTACCTGTAAGTGATAGGTTCTGTGTGCTTACATAGCAGTGCCATTCTAACCCCTAGAACCTCCTGATTCTGTTAATCTTAGGCCAAAAAGTTTGTATCTCATTTACTGCTGGTCATAATTTTATCAAATTTCTGGAAGCAAGTTAGGATTGGCTTCAGGTGTCCATGCAAGAATAATGAATCTTGACTTCTGTCTGAATTGTGTACTTCCTCATGTAGGCTTGTATTTGCCCCTTGTTTTCACATTCTTAGGATATTCTTCCATGTTTCTTTCCTGTCAGCCATACTGTGCATTTTCTAGGTGAATGCCTCTTTTTTTTTCCCTTTCTTCCTAAACTTAGACCTTGTTTTCTGTCTTGGGCCCTTCATTATGCCTTACCCTAGATGTCCTAGCTCAAAGGCAGTGAGTGGAGAGAGAAAAATATCTGAAGATGATGATCTTTTTTGAGATGTGAATCTCTGATGATAATTTTTCATGATCTTTAAGACCAAGGAAGAAGAAATCCTTTCTACTCAAATTGGTCAACAGGAATTTAGAGACTTGCGATTTCTGAGCACATTCACATATATATCCTCAATTTCAGATCTCTGGGTCTATTTATTCTTTATCAAAGTCCTGATTTTAGCATAGTAGTCCCATTGAGGCTGGCCTGAGGTCCCATTGCAATTGTTTTACCTTTTATTACAAAATTCTAGCCTCAAGTTTGCCATAACATGCTGCTCAAATTCATTAAATTTACCATAGCATAGTATCCTTCTAGCTTTTACAGGGTGTCCTGAGTTGATAATAGCCTGTCAAGGCTGTGCATTTGTTTTTCTTTAGTTTGTCCTATCTTATAATTAAATTTGACCCTATTTTCAGCACAGATTGAGTATAAGAGATGAGAATCAATTTAAATGCTGCCTTAGAGGCCTTCTGGCTTTCAAAGTGCATGCTAAATTAATAGTTGGCTGACCTATACCTGTCATTCTCTTTCTTCAAGGCCTCCAAGACAGTTAACAAAGGCCAACCAACTCTACAACCCCTTTAATTACCATGGCCCCTATACTGTTCAAGCTTGAGCTACTACATAACCTAGTGCCTCCCCTTCTACCTGTATTTCATCCCAGTCTGCCACAGGTGAGAGTCATAGTATTTATTTTTACAGCATGCCAGAGCTTATCACCACCTTCCTTGGGTTTCTTTTTCCTTCATTGATAACTATGTATAGTACTGGAGTCCAGTTCAACTAACCTTACTTTAAACTGCCTTGCAGATATAATGGAGCACTACTAGAATTTCACAAGAGCTTACAAGAAATGGAAGATACAGATGATGAGTGGTTTGAAGTAGATCCTACAGATGATGAAGATTTATCTACAACTTTCAAAGTAAGAAGTTATTTAAGAATAGTTTGCCATCTGTGAGTAATGAGAATTATTTTTTACAGCTTTTATTTATTTATTTATTAATTACACTTTATTCACTTTGTATCCCCCCATAAGCCCCTCCCTCCTCCCCTCCCAACCCAGCCTTCCTTCCCCTTCTTCACGCATGCCCCTTCCCCAGTCCACTGATAGCAGAGGTCCTCCTCTGCTTCTCTGCTTCCTTCTGATCTTAGTCTATGAGATATGAGAATCATTTTTAACAAGTAATCTTAAAAGCAAGTATCTATTCTTTTATTGGTAATTAGCTTTTTGTGTAAGAAAGAACCTTATTCTCATTAACTGGTGCAGTTAATTATTCTCATTAACTGGTGCAGAGTGTGAGCACAATTAGACAAATAAAGGAAGCAGTGTCATTATTTTGAAGTCCTAACAAGACCAGTAGCTGAATTAGCTGAGTTACTGTCTTTTTAAAACCCACATGTAATAGTTAACTTGCCTTTTTTAATAATTACACTTGGAATTATTTTGTTTTCAACTTAATTTATAAAGTACTAAATGCTTTGTATAGAAAACTTACTCCTTTTATCTAAAAAGAAGTTTCTACTGTTTTATTCAAATGTAGAAACCATTCTTGGCTATCTGTTTTTGTCTTTCTATGTATACATGCATATACATACTAATAATTTCCTGTGTATTTATTTAAAATTGACATAATGGGGCATCCATTTAGGTTTAATTTTGAAATGTATATTTAATGTTTTAGTAGTTGGGTCCTTTTACACCAAGTTTTGTTTCGTGTGAACTACTATCTTGCTTAAATATATTCAGTCATTTGTCATTGTTTACTTCATTTAACCTAAACTTTTCAGTTTTTCACATACAAGTATACAAATAAAATAAACTTTTTGTATTTCTCATATCATTTTATTAGAATAACATTTGCATAGCAGAACTATGAAGCCAGCACTCATAGGCTTAGAAAATTGTTGATATGTGCTTTTATACTTTTTGTTACAACAGTTGGACAAGTGTATATTCATTATAAAATGTGAGAGCTTCAAAAAAAAAAAAGTGAGAGCTTCTACAAAACTTCTGAGTACTGTCTGCTTTACAGTCAGTTTTTGTGCAAAATTATGGGCTACATAATTTAAAGTGAAAATAGCTACATGTTTCTTTTACTTTAAACCTTCTGAATAGGTACATTTTAGCTGACATTAAGGCTAATAACATTCTTGAAAACAAAGAGGCATATTGCACAGAAGTGCTAAATTAGGTATCAGTTATAAGAGCTGAAAGGACAAATTTCAATGAGGCATTTTTTAAAAACCTTTCTGAGTGATCATACTCCACTGATGGTTTCTGTGCCACTGTCCACAGAAGTAGAGTTTTAACTGACTGACTAAATAACAACTTTGTATATTTTAAAGTATAACTTTTTTCCTATCTAATCCAGTCTCTAATTTTTTTAGGTTTTTACTGTTTTTTTTCCTCTTTTAATTACTTTCCTTATATACAAATTTTTTCAGTAAAATTTTATTTTATGCAAAGAAGTTTGGATAGGCAGTTTATTAAAAAATATTAAAGACTTAAAAATTGAAATTTTGCCTCATTGTCTGTAACTGTAATTCCTAGTCACTCATCCCTACCCCCATACCCGCTTACCTATTCAAGAGCTGTCCTAATATTTCAATCTTTTAGGTATTGTTTTGCCATTTCAGTATAACATATGCAGGACTAGACAGCTCCTGCATGTATATAACACCTCCTTTAAATACACATACACTCTCACGTGTACACACACGCACACATTTTCCACATCTTAACTGGCTTTTATTAAATTGGCCTCAACCCAGGGATAACTTTTATCTATCTTTCTTTGTGTAAAATTCTGTATGTCATATCTGAAGTTTTTATCCACTTTAGGTTTTTTCCCTTGTTTGGTTGGTGTAACTCCTCCTTCCCATGAGTGCTTCATAGGGAGGTCAACTTTTTGAGATCTTTCAATTCTCAAAATAATGTGTTTTGTAAACTTTATTTATGTCCTACCCAGAAATAGAATTGTAGATTAAAATTAATTTTTCTTCATTAAAAATTTCTGCTGGCTCCTGGCGAGATGGCTCAGTAGTTAAGAGCACTGGTTCTTCTCCTAGAAGACCCAGATTCAATTTGCAGAACCAACATGGCGGCTCACAACCATCTGTAACTCCAGTCCCGGGGGATCCAGTGCCCACTTCTGTCCTCCATGGGCATACAAACATATGGTATACAGACATACATACATACAGGCCAAATGTCTATACACATTAAAAATTTTTTACTGTTATTTTCTAAACTTTAATCTTATTTTTTAAAAATCTGACATTCTGATTTTTAACCTTTTACATGTAACCTATTTCACTTTTTTATTTTCTTTCTAAGAGTTATTAATGATAAATTATCAATTTTTATTTCTTATGTGCTTATTAATTATACTCTGCTTATTGGACTAGTTCACTAATATTACTGCACTTGTGAGGGTTTTTGTTACTATATTTTGTTACTGTTGTTGTATCTTCTGTCATATTTTTATAAAATTTGTATATATATATATATATATATATAGCTGCTGTTCATTAAATAACCTTTAAAGGGTTAGTTTTCATATCATACATGTTCTGAGTATATTAGTAACAATACTATTTAATATCTTAAAACCTTGTTTTTCTACAAAGTATTAAGGTCGTTATCTAACTGAGATAAAGCAATGTTCTTTGCTTACGTTTAGTTAGTTTAAAATGAGAAATTATTTTCCAGGTTATTACTTGCAATTGTAGAAATATCTCTGTATCATACTTCTGCCTGCTGTGTTATTGATTGTCGTGTTGTATCACTGTAATGCTTCCACTGTCAGTGTATCTTGATTGGCTCCAGTTCTAAAATATATATGTATACAATTCTTAATAGGAACAAGCGGTGGAATAGAATAATGAAGAGAAATGTAGCTTCAAATATATACACGTCTACTTCCTCCCTGTCAGAAATCTATTCTTTTCAGTTTAGGGCTTTTCTATTTATTTACTTTGAAAAGGGTGAATATGTTGTGTTACTGTTTATACATACATACATACACGCATTAATTTAAAATGGGATCTGTGGATATGTTAATAATGGTAAATCTTGGATGTGTTACTGGCTTAACTTATAGATGATTCACAAGAATGAATATTTTTAAATTTTAGGATATTCTCAATAATTTTATCAAAACAACTGAAAGTAATATAGTGAAAGAGGCCATTTGCAGTTACCTTGATTGTGAGCGCTCTTGTGAAGCTGACATTTTAAAGAACACCAACTATAAGGTAACATAACACTGTATTATTGACATTATTGACAGCCAATTATTAACCATTTTATATGTCATTATAAAATTAAGCAGTTAAGGTTATTTCATTATTATACATCAAAATACTACATAGGGTATAGTATGTAGTTCTGTGGCAGTGCCCTACTGAGATAACTTCAGGTTCCTGAATTTTGTCCCAACCCTGGGTGGAGGAAATAAAGACCAGTGTAATCATAGTGGTAGTAGTTTTACTCTGAGAATGTGCATTCACAGTCATTACTAATTATATTCTGTGAGTCAGTAGAATAGGCTGGTTTTGCTGAAGTTTTTGTAGCATTACCTGCTTCTGAAGTTATGACTATTTGCCTGTTATTCGTATAGTAAAATAATCTGTTCTCTACATTTTTGACAGTTGTAGATTTCTGGAGTAATCTCCGTTGCAAAAAGAAGCTTCTTTGATCAGGAACTAGTTATCTGTGGGAATAAGGATAAATATTTAGACTACAGTTAGATATTATATTGGCTATACAGTTAGAAAATGAGAATGGTTGGTTCTCCTTGAGGTAAAATCACAGAAAAAGAGATGGAAAGATTGTAAGAGGCAGAAACCCAGAACTCTTGCTGCTACATAGTGTCCTCTAGACTTGACAGGGAAAATGCACTCTTGAAATCCTAACATATGGTTGCCTAAACACGACTGGCATAATGGACATCAGTTACCCTGCCATTGCAGACAGGGAAAATGTCACATGGTCCTAGCCCACAATGAAGACCTATTTGTGGCCAATTCCTGCTGAAAAATGAAGGATCAGTTTCTTCCAAGGAAGAGTTCCAGCATAGGTTGCCCAGTCCTAAAGTGGTTAGCACAAGTACACACACACACTAGCAACACTAAATGGAGCCAATAGTTTGTATATACAGGTGTACATAGATAGGTAGGTAGGTAGGTAGGTAGATAGATAGATAGATAGATAGATAGATAGATAGATAGATAGATAGATAGATAGATA